AGCTGCTGTGGAATGCAGTAGGCATGCCTCTGGCTGGACAGCCACATTTTGTGGTTAATTATTGGCAAGGGTTGTGGGTGGGAGCTTGAGTACTGATAAGCAAAAGGGTTAGTTTAGGAGCCTCTGAGAAACTTAGTAGGAGGGGGGCAGTGGTTGTGGGAATGAACTGAACAGGGAGGAGTATGCTGAGGATGGCAGCTGGAAGGTGCTTGTTAATATGGGCATGGGCAAAGATTGTTCACCTTAGATCCCATGGAAGTTATGGCTGCTTTACACATTACAAAATCCACTGACGGAAGTCTGATCACAACCAAAATCACAAGGCACTCTCAATCAATCGGTCAAATTTTGTTAAGAATACATTATTTGCTCCCACAGTTTTTCTCAGTAAATGATGATAGCCATGAGAGCTGTAGCTCTCTGCAGCCTGCGCGGCCATATCAGGAACCTTCTCCTTACTACCCAAAGTTTTGTCAAAATCCTGATGTGATCAAAGTTCCAGTCTTGGCACTTCCAGACCCCCTTCAGATCTGAAGACTGACAGGGTCATAGGCAGGTCAGCACCATATTCTGCCAGTGCTAACAAGCACCCTTTGTGCTCTGGTATTAAAGCTTCAGCATGTGACAGACCTTTTCACACTGACACCAGGGAGCAGGAGGTATAGCAGGAAGAGAAGGAGTTTTTATTTTTCCAATTCCAAGTGTTCCTTCATGTGACCAGCTAAGTAAGGAATAACAGGTGGCACCATTAGCACAAATAGTCCCACCTAAACCTTGTGGGACTATTTGTGTGTGTGTGTGTGAATTTCTGTGCAACTTTAAGGGAGCCTTCCCTAAACTGGGACTCTTCAAATCATTTGCAGTAGAACTGCCAGCATTTCTGACCATTAGCCACACTGATGGGAGTACCATGGGGCTGATGGGAGCTGAAGTTTAAAACTTCTCAAGGCATCAGCTTGGGGAAGGCTGCTCTAAGACCAGATAATTGATGTGCATTGTCACTGTTACAGGTTAATATTTCCTGCATCTGATGAAGTAGGCAATGTCCATGGGGATCCACAGTAAATGGTTTTACTGGTATTACATTGCCTGATTCACTGGCATGTCACATGGCACTAGCTTCACATTGTACTCCTTATGCCATTTCTGCCATTATCTCCCAGATGTGATACAGCTTGTCTGAAGGCAACTTTTAAAATATGTTGCCTGTCCCCCCACCAAGCTACACATTCCAGTGTGTGCTAAACTTGCCATACTGTTCTGTGGGGAGGAGTAATGGTTTCAGTGGGCTGGTGAGATGGGTGGAGTGATGTGACAAGGGGAAGTGTCCTGTTGGGCTTTGACAGAGCTGCAGCAGCAACAACAAGGAAATAAGCCTGACCAGCCCTCTGTTGCTTTCCTGGCTCCCTCAGCCCCCACCCCCACCTTTATGGCTTCTCTCTCTCTAGCTTGCTCAGTGAACTGGACAGTAAATGCAATGCTGCCTTTCCCCACTCCTCCACTGCATGTCAACTCAGAATAAATCAGATTATCTTCAGTGGCACTTATTCAGAAGTAAATTGCATTGACTTCAGTGTGGTGCCATATTGGCATCAACGGTACTTACGCTTGGTAAAGTCAGCATGGGAGAGGAGCTGCATTTGCTTTCAGGAATTGCTTTTGGGTGGAGGGGAATTGGGATTCTAACTCCGGTGGCTCCACCTCACAGGAGGTGGGGAACAGCTGTCTGTAGCACCACGGCTTCCCATCCTCCTATTCCCATTTCCTTCTCCATACTTGTTTGCTAGGCAGCAGGATCAGTCAGCCCCCCACTTTAAAAAAAATCTGGTTCTTCACTCATTTGCACTTGTGCATAACTAATGAACAGGAGGAACACTGTGGGCATCCTCTTTCCAACTCTTTGTACTCCTGCAGTTGCATTGGTCTGTGACAGAAGGACAGGCTTTCAGCACAGAGGACAATGCTCAGTAGTCATTAGCATGCACTCCAGCAATGGTAAAAGTGTTCTGCACAGCAGCACTTCTTGATAATGGAAGGGGCTCTAGTGTGGATCTCTGTGAAAACTAGTTTTTAAGGTACCATAAGACTCTTGGTTATTTTTACTGTTACAGTGATAGAATGTGTACTTGTAGGTACCCTACCTAACTTTCACAGTTTCTGAGCTGCAATAATCTTTGGGAAAAGATGAAACTGGGGTTTAACTGGGGTTTTTATCTTGACTTGCTGCATGCTGTGTCTGGTTTGTTTATTTGTTTTGTTTATTTTATTCATTCCTTATTGTAAGCTGTCCTGAGACGTTAGTGGTGGACAGGCTAGAAAAGTATTGAAGGAAGGAAGGAAAGAAAGAAGGAAAGCTAGGCTGGGTTCTCATATCACAACCCTGTGTATTTACCATGGTTCATGGATATGGGTATGCCTGACACACAATCGAGTGCTTTCTGCACTGTGGTGGCTTCCATCCTACTTACTCCTCTCACTGTTGGCGAGTGTCCCATCAGCCACCATATCTGAAATCCTGTCCCATGCTGCATCACTCCTGCCTGCACTGCATGCCTCTCCCTCATTGGTCCACACAATTCCCTGGGCATGTGCTTTGCCACCTGCTACCTTGTCTTTTTTTCCAGGTCCCTCAGCTGAGACATCCCTTTAGTTCAGGCCTGGGCATTGTACCGCCAGCCGTGGGCCACATCCGGCCCAGTGGCTGACCCTGACTGGCCCGCATGAGGTCACTGGCAAATTAAAAGTCAATGCAAATATATATCGTCATAATATAGATGCATGCAATACAACTGCCCTGCTTTTATTTTGAAGGATCTGTTAAATTAATAGTGTTGTTCTGTGCTCCACATTTTCATTGTATCATTGTAATGTTTCATTTACTGTTTTTATAGAGATATATATATTGAGCAGAGCTGTAAGTGTATTGGTCCGGCCCTTAACAACTGTCAAAATTTCTCATGTGGCCCATAAGAAAATTAATTGCCCACCCATGTGCACAGAAATCCCCTTTTCTGTTACAGTCCTTCTCCATCTGAAGGCTTCTTCATCCCTACTACCACTTCCTTGCCAAAGACCTACTGAAGCTTAACTTTGTACAGGAGTCTCAAATGTATCAATTACCTGCTTCCCTCCTGTACCCCAAGGATAGTTCACACAAAGAATGGCCCTCTGCTTCCCCCACCATACGTGCAGCCAGCATCTTTGTCTTCCCCACGCTACCCTCCTGCAAAGTATCTCCTCTCACCCCTGCCTTCGCCATCACATAAGGAGGTCTGTCTGCACCCCTTGCTCCACGTGCTGCTCTAGCATCCTTCACCTTCCTCCATCCCAGGTGCACCCCTTCCCTCATCTGACTGTCCTTGTTCTGAGATGCTTCAAGAAGTATCCAAGCCCACACATGCCAGACTCTGTATTCAGCAGCCCTGCTGGAAAACATCCTCCCCGCTTCCCTTCTCTCAACTCAGTTTCTGGCACCATGCAGGCTCTGGCTGACCACCATGCTTGCCTCCTTCCCTTGTGGTGGGAAATGTTCCCCCTCCTCTGCGCCAGGCACCACTTTGAATGTCTCCTCCAGCCATTGCAGCCTACTCCCCCTTTGCCGCCCACTCACACACATTCCTGCTTTTGACTCCGCTCGCACACACGTCTCCTCCCATCTCTTCTGCACAGCTTCAAGGACAGTCCTCTGCCCCACCTCCCTGGCCTCAACATACATCCCCATGGATATCACTACATACATTCTGTATGCTCACCACATATTCCCACACCCAGCCATCTTCACAAGAAGCACACAGTTGTAGCAAAACATGCCCTTTTTCTGCAGCATTAGAGGGACTCAGGTTTGGGAAAGGGTTACTCAGGAAGAAACTACAGCATGTCATATCTAAAAAATGCCTTGTGATCTCTTCTGCTCCTGGGCAAGCTCTGCTGCCTGAAAGGTGTGCCCAGATACTATCTGCTCACCCCCAAAGCTAGCATGCATCCAAACACAGGTTTCCAACTTCTGTTGTTTACTATACCTGACACTTTCTCTTCCCAAACAGCACAGGCCTCTGCTTGCATATCTGTACTTAGTCGTTTGCATGCAGCAATGGTAACTGGGAACTGCCTACAAGACTGCTTTTGAGGAAGAGTAGCTGCACCATGGCCATGTCCACCACCCCTGCCTCTCTCTGCAGGGTAGTGCCTCTGTAATTTTTTGGTTTGACTATGGCATGACATGTTTTCTGGGTTTGGATGACATACAAAGCCATAGAGGGTTAAGTAACCCCTAGAACAAGGAATGGATTCCTGTGCAGCTACTCCATGAGAAGCACACTCAGTTAAGTTATGCACTAAGCAATGGTGGCTTTGAAGCCATGGTGGCATGGGATCTATATTCACAAATAATACAAGCCATGCTGGAAACAGCATGGGCAGGGCTTGTTGTTACATGTAAATTCAGCAACCATGGTGAAGCACAGTTTATTTGATTTCCATGAAACTCCAAGGAGAATCGATCATACTTCACCATTGCATTCATTCATTCATGCATTCATTCATTTAATACACATATTTATCGGCCGTCTATAACTGCCGAAGCCTCCCTAGGTGCCTTATATACATTAAACATATTAAAACATAATAATACTTTTCATTGTGTGTGACTCCAGTGATGATTTTTTAGTGCAGTTTCCACATTTCTGCCGGCAAGTTTGGCAGCAAGACTAGCCACAGCTGCTGCAGATGCTCCAGCCTCCATTTTCTACTGGCCTGTTGTGCTTAGCAACTGCTGCACGCTAACTGGCTGTTTCCTCACTCGCTGATGCCGGACTGTGGTGACCGGGTCTCACCAACAGTGGGACATTGCACCATGCCACCTCCAGGGGCAACAACCCTGGAGACTGCTGTCCCAGCGTGTCCGCCCGGTTGCTGCCCTGTGCTGGAATGGTGCTTTGAAGTAGCACTGTGCTCGTGCTACTCAGGAGCCAGGGGACTCCTGAGGGGCCCAGGGGCGGCACATGGGACCTTGTCAACAGGGCGAGTGTCCCACAGAGCCCCTGCCGCCTGCTCTGTCTCTCGTCCTCTGCGCCATTCCCACCTTGTCCCTGACAGTCCTCGAGGTGCCCCACGGTCAGCCCCACCCCCACCCTGAAAGTCTGCCAGCAAACCTTCCTGGGCAGATGCCCAGAAAGGTGCCATTGGGAGCCTCTGCCCAGCAGGATGCACCCTGACCATCAGGCGCCCACTCCGATTCCCTCCCTGCACAGCATGTGGGCACTGTGCCTGGGTGGGGAAGTGTGAACACGTGAAGGGGAGGCAGAGGTGTATGCGGGGTTGCGCGAGGGTGCAGTGTGTGGCAGCAGTGGGACGCGCACCTGCATTGCTGCTCTGGCTGTGGCCGTGCCCAGGGGAGTGTGAGAGCCAATGAGGGAGAGGCAGGCAAAGGAGGCAGGAGGATGCTGGGATTGAATCCAGCTGCAGGAGCTGATAGGATACGTGCAGCCATTTGGAGGGAAGATGGAAGCCATGCATGCTTAGAAACCACATGAAAGTGAGAACACATGAGATACCTTGCCACACAGTAACCACATGGCATTGTATAGTGTTTGTGAACACACCAAATGTGTTGTGTAAACCCAGTTGGTAACTATGACTACCTATTAAGGTATAGTAGCCCAGGAGTTAAGAGAGAGAAAAGTGGCAAATATTAACAGTTCTTTCCATAAAGGTACAAATGGTAAGTTTTTGATTATGCCTGCCCTCTCTTTTTCTTTTCCATTAATTTTATACCACAAGGCATTTGCCTCATTATACTTCTAATATATTTAACCCAGATCAATGCAGCACTGAGTTCATTACCTAATTGCTTCCACTGAATTGTAATGATAATCCATAAGCACAACTGGCAGTAAGCATTAGTGTTTTGCATTGTACAGTCTTTCTTCAAACAAACAAAAAAACAACTAGCTTGTTTTCAGACATCCTTGAGAGATTATCCTAGAAAAGTCAACTTTGGAAACATTCTAATTGATAATACTGCTTGCTTAAATGTAGTAGTGTTCAAAGTAACAAATGTGTTGGTTAACTAAAAATGACGTATCTCCTTGCAAGAGCCCAAGTTCTCAGTATAATGAGAACCCTTGATACTAAATCTCACTATTATATTACACAACAATTACTGCATTTTAACAAAGGATCTCTCTGTGCCTCTACCTCTTCCTTTCTTTCACACTCACACACACAGTATCAGTTTATGCATTAATACACTTTTTGTGTTGGTGGGGGAATTGTAGTGTCTCAGTGCAGGTCTTTATAGGAGGGACCCTTGTTTCACCACGCCAAAGTGCTTTATAAGATCTTGAAATGGAATTTAGCTGTTTTTCCCTTCTCTTCTGTTTAGTCCAAATCACTGATGCTCAGGGCACAGAAGAGCCTGATCTGTTGTACCATGGCTGTTCGGAGGGGAGTTGTTACCCAGCCACAGGAAATCTGCTCATTGGAAGGGCCCAGAACTTGACAGCTACATCAACTTGTGGCTTGGAAGGGCCTCAGGAGTACTGCATTGTCAGCCATCTGCAGGTAATCCTACTTGAGTGCTGATCAAGGGACAGGATTATCTGAGGAAACTGCATGCAGAAATGTGCATATCAACATTGTATGAGAATTTATATATGAAATTTCTTGCATTAAAAAAAGATGCTCAAAGTGCAGGACAAATTGAACTGATGTGGCCCAATTGACAGGACTCTGAGAAATGCTTCCTTTGCGACTCCCGTTCACCATCCCTGCGTGAGAACCATCTTCTTGAGAATGTCATCTACCTGAGTGGCCAGGATGGTGATCAAACATGGTGGCAGTCTGAGAATGGTAAGAGTCCAGGAGAGAATCAAAGGATAGTTTCCTTTGCCTGATCCTAGATGAACTCTCTTGGGATTTTTAAAACCAAACAGAAGAAATAAAAGGAAACCTTTCATTGCCCCTCTCTCTCCTTTCTCTGCTTCACAAAACCCACTGATTTGCTGTTCTAGAGGAGATCAACAGGATTCTCTGACTTGGGCCAGGATCCTGGGCCAGGTATGTCTAGCAACCTCAGTGTGCTGGAGAACTCTGGGACTTGCTTCTCCCAGGCAGGGCATTTTTATTTCATTATGTCTGCTAGAGGCCAAGAAAATAAAAAATGCACTGCTTTCTGCTAATACAAATGTCACAGTCCTCATTTAGACTGGAAGCTGGCATATATAAGATGGGGCAGACTTCTCTGTTGCTCCAGGTCCAGACCTAGAACCAATGAGTGAACATTGGGAAGTAGATTTTGGTTCAATATTATAATGGTAAGTGTTGTGCAATAATAGAGCAGACTTCCTCAGGAAGGAGAGACTGGACAGCCATCTGTTAGGAATGCACCCTACGCTGCATCCCACACTGCAAGTCCTGTGTTGAGCAGGGGACCAGACTAGCTGACCGTTCCAGGATTCTGTACTTGAAAATGACTTGTTACCACAAAGATCCATTAATACATCCCTACCTGTTTTTTGAAACTATTTTTGCAAAGAGCAAAAATGTGTATCTTTGTGTATGCATGTGTATGATACCTGGATCACAGCAATGTCACAGAGGAGAGGCTATTAACCTCAGATTTATCTTCATGTATATATAATACAGCTTGGGTATCTGTATTTTTTCCCTCGGGGGGCAAACAGCAGCTTTTGAGGATGTTTTTTTATGGGACAATGACATAAGACAATTCATTAAGCCCCCACCATCTTAATCCAGACAGAAGCCTTCCTCCACTCCAGCTGCTATTTGTAGAAATTTAAAACCAGGAATTCTTTCATACATATCCTTCATTATGTGTAGTTGTATTCAAAGCTTGTGCACATAAATGATGCTTGTTCAGTGCTCTGAGGATAGTCTGTTAGAACTATTGTTGCCTGTGGCACACTTTCTTCCCTTTGTTGTGGTTGCACAACAGTTTGTGGTTTTGCATGTTGCAAGGTGTGGAACCCATAAACCGCACAACAGGAAAAAAAATAGGTGTAGAGGCTACAGTGGCTCCATCATTGCACTTCCATAGTAGTGTCTGAAAAATTATATATAGTCTGATGAAGTATTTCAAGGTCTTTAAGTGAACACAGAAAGGAGGAAAGATGGCTAGAAAGGTGAGTAGCAAGATCACTTACATTAGAGGGGAGTGTCTTCTCCCAAACTGTATTTAGATGAGAAGAAGTTCTGCTCCCATGTTGCATTTTTGTTGCCTCTTTTACCTTCCATTGTCAGTTGAACACCAACAGTAAATGGTCCACAGTATTCGTGGAAGTTCTGCATGTGAATTTAGATATTTGCTGTCCAGTGCATACAGGGTGGCAGAACCACTGAGGGTGATGTGACAGAGGAGTTCTGCCAGCTATCTACTCTTCTACTCATTGCGTGAGAAGAAGAATGCCTGAATAGTGCTGTTATGGGAGGCCTAAGTTCTGTTTTTCTCTTTGCCTGCCCAGGTGTAGAACAAGTCAGTATTCGCTTGGACCTGGAAGCTGAGTTCCACTTTACTCATCTCATAATGAAGTTTAAGGTACTAAGAACTTTGCAAAATAGCTATTAGATGCCTTTGCAGAAAAATTACTGGCACAAGCACCCAATAAATCATTCCTCCGTCTAACCATAAGACTGTGGTGGCATTATTATCATTTCAATGGATATCTTGTCTTTCTGCATATAACATCCAAGACAATTGGTTTTCTGGGCTAAACAGGAGGTTAGATAGGCACCAGCCCCATCATAGCACCATAATACGCATAGTTTCAAAGAAATAATTTTCTTTAGGATCCTCTATGAAGAAGAAAAGTGGCAAAAAGCCCTTTCTGCCTCTTGCAATCTTAATTATTATCTTTTGTTGCTATCTACATTTTTAAAAGTACATGTAAAACATGAATGGAAGTTCAGCCTATAGTTTGGTTCATGGAGCCCTGGCTTAGGCAAGACATTTCCATGTAGTGTGGTGCAGGGAGTGCTTTGTTTGTTCTCTGTTGGGCAAAGTTTGCGTGGAGTCTTATCTCTACACTTTTTCCTCAGTATAACTAGGAGTGTCACTGTTTACTATCAGTGTCATGAATGCTTTGCAAAGAGGTTTGGTTCACTGTGTCGAATCTACAGTAAATGCAAACTCACAGCCTGTCTCCATCATGCCCTGTACTGCTGAGTTTAACATCACTAACCTGGAAGACTGAAGTTGCTATAACAAGAAAAATGTCAGATTAAAGTTTGATTGAACAACAGTAGCTCTTGCTGCCATATGTAATTTGCAAAGTATCTGAATCCTCACATTGTTAACCAGAAAACCGAATTTCCCTTATTTACCAGCCTTGCTTGAAACATTTTAGATTTGGGGATTATTCTTTCTGGAGAAGGAACATTGAAATTTGGCGCTCTTTGTCTTGCAGACATTCCGCCCAGCTGCCATGCTGATTGAACGTTCATCAGATTTTGGGCATAGTTGGAAGGTTTATCGCTACTTTGCTTTCAACTGCTCCAAGCTCTTTCCTGACATTCCTGTCCAGATCCCAACACATGTCAACCAGGCAGTGTGTGACCAGCGATATTCTGAGATTGAGCCTTCTAGCCATGGCGAGGTCAGTACTACCCTATTGAAATAGAATGAAGGTACAGGAAGGTCTCTGTTACCTTGTGAAGGATGACGATTACATATCTGCAGGTTCCATGGACAGCATGGAAAGACAAACCTGGGAGAACAACAGACAGAAACACATCATCAAGCCCTTACTTAGCTTAAGTGGTTCAAATTCCTCTGCTGCATTACCACTGTCTTGCATCTCTGACATTTCTAGCCATCATTGTTTATATCCCCTTCCTAACTTGTCTGTTCAGACACTGGGCTACCAACTGATACTTGATTTTGGAACAGAACTCAGAAGAAATGTAGAACTTGGGGCAGAGCAGTACTTTGCACACAGAAGCCCTGTTTTCAGTCCAGGCAGGGTTCCTACATCAAATCCTGGAAAGCCAGAGCTAGGTGGGCCAGTGGTCTATTCTGCGCGGCTTCCTATGTTCTAGAGCCATAGGAAGAAATCAAGAAAGCAGTGAAACAAATTTTGAAATGCCAGATATTTGAAATCCAGATTTGAATGTGTAGAAGTCAGCTTTTCAGATATTCAAAATGTTAGTTTCTAGAATGAATTTGGGAAATAGTGAAGTTAATTTCAGTTTTGTTGCAGGGTCACATTTGTTAGGATCTAACTGGGTATGATGTCAGGGATCTGATCACCTATCATTAAATTTTAGCAAATAGCCATAAGATTACCCAGGTAGGAATAAGAGTGTGGTGCTGAGAGAGGAAAGGTTGAATCCTTCATCCAGCACCAATTTCCTGATGGATCTTCTGCCCAATATCCTCACTATACTCATGTGAGTATAGTGGGGAGACATCTCTTAACCTTTTAAGATACATCTCTTAACCCTTTTCTGCAGGTGATTTTCAAAGTGCTGGACCCAGCTGTGAAAGTAGAGGATCCCTACAGCCAGGAAATCCAAGGTCTGGTTACAAGAAAGAGAGCAAAAAGGGAGCAGGGTTTGGTCCTTAGAGCAGGGGCTTAAAAATCTTGAAGAAAAAGAGGACTGGGGGAATCTTAGTTATGACATGCAGGATTTGGAATGAGCACCATAAAGTCATGGTCCAAGGTGGAACAATGGGATGTGTGGAAGAATACAGAGAAACAGGGTGGCTAGCAGGAAATGATAGCACATTTGGGGTTCCACTGGCATCAAAACAACTCTATTGAGATGCACACAGACCATCAACAAATATCACCAGCATATATTAGAGCTGTCATTTAGTTAAGGAGATTTAAGGTACCAGTGCATGTTTAAACAGAAAAGGTGCTGGCTGAGGAATGCTGGGAGTTATATGATTTTTTTTTCTGTCTAAGCATGCATAATAGTGCTCTTAATTGATTAAATTTCAGCTTGTTCACCAATGAATTAACTGATTAATTTAAATAGTTAAATATGATCAAATCTTCAGTATAGGCATTTGAAGCTTGCGAGAATTTACAGTTTGGATAAGCAAAATCTATCAGCCATTGTTAGTAGGAATTACCATACACTAGCTAGGCCTTTGGTCTGCTCCAGCAGGTTTTTTCCTATGTTAATATTAACACATTACTGAATGTACTGTTGTACTCTCTATCAATTACACTGATTAAAGTTTGCAGTCCTAGAGAGACTGAATTCAGAAGAGAAGGCTGAACATGGGTGAGAGAGCGGTTCAGCTGCAGAAACTCTGGTAGCTAGAACTCTTCACTGATAAATCTCCACTCTCACTCAGATCTGCTACGTGTCACCAATTTGCGGGTGAACTTCACAAAGCTGCACACTTTGGGTGACAACCTGTTAGACTCACGGCATCAGGTGCTGCAGAAATACTACTATGCCGTGTATGAGATGGTGCTGCGTGGGAGCTGTTTCTGCTATGGACATGCCTCTGAGTGTGCTCCTCTGGCTGAAGTGTCAAGCAGAGTTGAGGGCATGGTAAGGCATCAGTGGTGTGTACAGGGTGGGGGGGGGGGGATGAGGTTGGAAGATTGGGATGCAGCCCTCCAGCCAACAAGATACAACAATAAAGGAGCGCTATTCAGATTCATGGCTCCAGCATGTTGATGCACACAAGACTGGGTCTTTCCAGTTGAAGTGTTTGGCCAACCCCTTACTAGGGTCTTCTCTATAATGCTATGACCAGGCCCGGCAGGGAGTGGAAGCTTCAAACTCAGTAGTTCTTACTAAATCTCAGTCAGGTGTCCCATGCACAATACTCTCTTTCAGCTATGTGTAGAACAGTCTCCTCCAGATGTAGCTACACTATAACACCCATCATCCTCACCCAGCATGCATGTGCATGTGTGCACTGGGCAGTGAGAGTTGTAGTCAAAGGTACTAAGTTGGGAGAGGCTACCTGTAAAGAATCTACATCATTTTACTAAAAGCTTGATTTCTGTTAATAGAAGATACAAATCCTTCAATTAGAATCTTTTCTGCAACTTCAGAAAACTAATATGAATGCAGCAGATTAATATACAATGATACTACAGCTTCTCCTTGCCACTTTGGACTCTTCCATCAGCATGTAATATTTTCTGTAAGGTATTGAGAAAATAGAAATGGAAAGATGGATAGTAGCTGTTTTATATTTGTAGGCAAGAAGTGTGTAGGGCCAGCAACAGGGATTTGTGGGGCTGAAAAAGGTAGGCATGTAGAGAATTAAATAGTCTCAGATCCCACCCAGTGGGCATTCCATGCAGACCCCTTTTGATTTAGTAACATTTGGCAGCAATTTGTTACTTGTGTTTTGGGTTCATATGTTCTTCATAAGTACTGGGGATCGGAACTTACATTCCCTCAGAGAGAGAGAGAGCAAGAGAGAGAGAGGTGTATAATTATCATCAAATGCTAGGATCTGTGGTTAGATTGGGGTCATCTCTTCCCAACTTGCTTTGGGCTTAGGTTTCCAAGTGAGTACTCCATACCCAACAATTTGAGCTCTCTTTGAAACCTCTGTGTGCTGAACTTTTCTATTGGGGTGTGCCAAGGCTCTGCATGCCCCTCATCAGCAGATCTCTGTTCCAGATCCATGGACGATGCATCTGCAAGCACCATACCAAGGGCCTCAACTGTGAGCAATGCAAGGACTTCTACCAGGAGTTGCCATGGAGACCAGCTGAGGCCCACCATCCACATGCCTGCAAAGGTAAAGAGGGCAGGTTCACATGACACACTAACCCCCTGGGAATTTTAACCATATACCCTGGGCAAAATTCCCCTCTGCCCAACAGGTGATTTGGCATGGCAGAGACTGAGTCTCTCCTTTCCCTTCTTCCCCCTCTGTCATCCCACTGGTATCTCATGGCAGACTGTGGGAACTCTGAGGAGAATAGCGAAGCACTCTTAGGAAAAGGGTGGGAGTAAGGCAACATGCTAACCTGTGGGGGCTTTATGGACCCCATGGGTTAGTTCGTTGTGTGAACCCAGTCAATATTGGTGTTCGCTGTGAGGAAGCCAGTAAGAGTTCCATCTTTGTGCCATTATGCCTGAGAAGGGCTCCACCCTGGCTTTAGCCAGAAAGGAGATAGAGACTAATACTGCTGTAGAGATTCAAAGATGGATGGACAGACAGACACTTGATTCAAGAAATCCAGGCTTCTAGTGCTGTTTTTCTTAAGGCAAAGAACTTTTTTATTTGTATGTGAGGAGGGAGAGGACCTTTTACTTCAGGGGCACACAGCCTGCTGCAAAAGGCTCCCAGGCCTTTGCTTCTTCCTCTGGCCTCTACCCAGTCCTCCCACAGCAAGGGCTTTTGTGCTTTTCTCTGCTACGTGTGGCAGCTGGCAGTTCCCCAGCCTTAGATACCCTTTTTCATTATGGTGCTATGAATGTGCATGTATTGAGCAGCCACCACAAACAGCATGCGATAGCTACAAGGATGGTGGACTTGCCTACCACATGGTTTATTGGGGTAATACCACCTGTTACTTTGGGCTGGGAGCACAGTGGGTGAGCAGCATGAGAGGGAGCGAAGGGCACTGCCCCTGACCTTTGTTTCGGGATGCTCCACAGAGTGCAACTGCAACGAGCACTCTCACCGGTGTCACTTCGACATGGCAGTGTTCCTGGCCACGGGCAATGTCAGTGGCGGGGTCTGTGACGAGTGCCAGCACAACACCATGGGCCACCACTGCCAACTCTGCAAGCCCTTCTACTACCGCAACCCACTGGCGGACATCCGTGCCAGCACTGCATGCATCCGTGAGTGGTACCTTATTATTTTCGTATCTGACTCAACCAAACCTTGATCTATATTTAGCTTAGAATTAGTTGCCTTCATACTCAGCCTAGTCAAGCACTTGATGTAAGCAAAGATCTTTCACATTTTCAGCAGCAAAAATTAGTCCAGTTTTTAAAAAGTCCTTTAGGGTGCAGATCCTATGCATGTTGAGGAAAAAATTGCCCTATACTTCCCAGCATTTCCTAGCCATTCTGGGAGTTGTAGGACTTTTTTTTTGTCTAAAGATGCATAAGATTGTACTCTTAATTAATTTGCAAATATCTTCTTAAATTTGGCATTTTAATGGGGTTGAGTTTCTTCTAGCCTTGTCAGATTTAATATGTTACCATATGCTAATTTATCTCCAGTATTTGTTAATCTGTGCAGTGACATTTTTGATTAATACTATCATATCTTTCTTCTAAAGCAGTGGACTTAAGGTAGGTTATAAACTCTATCTGTAAAATCACAGTAAAAAGAATACTGTATAAAACAGCATGACAGCAAGATGAATTTGATTCAGAAATGCAAGGAATTATTATACTTATATTTTGTTTAAAATGCAGCATATTTTGTTTAAACATACAGTATCCAATAAGTCAAACAGAGGGAACATAACCTGTTCCAATTTTCATTTAAAATAACTAGATGAGTTCTGCCACTTTTGTTAAAAACCATTTTTCTAAATCTTTGGACAGGTGTCTCAGTTTCATCACAGCATCCTAGATTAGAAATTAGCACTCCAATAAAAATACAGCTTTTGTCTATTTTTAAAACAACCTATTATCAGCAATTCCATTTTATTTCATATGTTACATTTCTATAGCACCCGATGGGCCAGGCTTTCTGGACCAATTACAAAGTTTAAAAACCATAAAAATACCTAGTATAAAAACAGTTTACATATAAACATATAAACAAAAGCAGTCAGCGCAGTGTGCATGCCCACCCACCCACACAGACTTAACGATTTTAGACAACAATAAGAAAAATCCACATTTTGCTGCAAATACTTTTCAGTACTTGTACCAATTCATGGAGGAGCAGTATTAGTGGCTCCTACTCCCCATGGCTACCTCCAGTATCAGAGGCAGTAGGCTTACATAAACCATTTGCTAGGGAACTTGGGTTGAAGGGTGCTGCTGCACTCATGCTTGGGAGATCCTGTGGATGGGTGGTTGGGCATTGTTTGAACAGACGACTTGACGAGATGGACCTTGGTCTGATCCTGTATGGATCTTCTTAAGTTCTTATGGCCTAGTATACCCCACACAGTGGTACCTCGGGTCACAGATGCTTTGGTTCACGACCAAATCGGATCGTGAACAAAAATTCCATCAAAAATTTAACTCAGGTTGTGAACTCTGCATTGGGTGGCAACCGTGATCGCAGACACCTCCCCCTCGCCCAAGTGGGGAGATGGTACGATCGTGCTGAGGGCGGTGGTGGGAGGGGGGGAGATGGCTGAGATCAAGTCCTTCTTTCCTGCAGGAGTGCAACCGTGATCTCAGCCATCTCCCCACCCCCAGCACGATTGTGCCCGTCTCCCCCCCAGCGCGCCCCATTTGCACCCGTCTCTCCCTCCCCCATTGCACCCGCGATTGTGCCATCTCTCCTCCCACAGCATGCTGGGATGACGGGCGTGAGCAGGGATGACGGGTGCGATCGTGGTTGTGCTGGGGGCAGGGGCGGGGAGATGGCCATGCTCATGCTCAGGGTGGGGGGTGGGGAGACGGCCATGATATTTGTTGTTCTTTGTCACTTTGCTTCCCATTTTTCTGATTTAAAAAATAGTTATAGAATGGATTAACCTTATTTACATTGAACCTTATGGGGAAATTTAAATTGGCTCACGACCATTTTGGGTCACAACCAGAGTCCTGGAACGGATTAAGTTCATGAGTCAAGGTACCACTGTATATAATTTAAATGCCATGTTCTTTGTTTTTAAATTTATATGGCAATTTCAATATAAAATATTTTCAGGATCACTTACAAGTTAAAAACAACAACAGCTAAAGCAATAGAAGAAAAGAATCAAACTACATTAACATGAGGTAGATGCAAAATATAATCATAAACAAATTGAATAGTCCAAATATCAATTAAGGCCTCAGAAAATAAAAGATCAATGCCTAGCACTGATATTAAAGGAGGTGCCACATGATCCTCCACAGAGCATTCCACAGGTGGGGTGTTACTACTGAAATGGCCTTCTCTGAAATTGCCAGCTGCTTTAACTTAGACAGTGGGGGCACCCAGAGGAGGACCTCCAGACAGTGTAAGAAAAGGTTTATGTTGCAATAGAATGGAGAATTCTTTAGTTACCCAGACATCAAGCTATCTTTTCCATTGTCTGAGGATTTGGAGAAACTGGAAATCTTGCAAGCTCCTACCTGTATCTAAGTGTCACTTTCCTACCTATTATCCTTTCAAACCACTGTAGCAGCCAATATCTATTGAACAACCTTTGCTGAAATTGGATGGAATTGTTCTAATTCCTAGCATTTTGTGATAGTGATGGGAATTTTGGAGAGGGGACAAACACATTCCTGCTTCCTGGTTAATGCAAATGGGTATGGTACTGCACCAAATTACTATGTTCTATTTAATTCTTTGTTCTGTTGGCTCCTGATTCTGATTCAGCCTCATACACTTGTTCAGGATGTTGGCATTCTAGATTCCTAGATCTCTTCAGCTACTTCTTCTTCTTCTTCTTTAATTCCACAGCCTGCGACTGTGACCCAGTGGGCTCTTTGGATGGTGGCGTATGTGACAGTCATACGGATGTGATGCTGGGCATGATTGCCGGTCAATGCCGCTGCAAAGATAATGTCAAAGGCATGCGTTGTGACAGCTGTAAAGAGGCCTTTTATGGACTGAGCCAAAATGACCCTCTGGGATGCCAGCGTTAGTATTGACTGTCTGGGCTGACCTTGTGGGTGCAGGAGTGGAATCCAGTGGTGGGCTTTGTGGGTCAAGGGGGATGCCAAAGCTGAACTTTAGGGTAAGGACAGATGTTTAATTTGTATAGTAGTGGGGCTAGTTGGGAAGCATCCTCTTCATGTTCAGTACAAATGCATCTTTCTCCAGAACGCATATCCGGAGGGGAAAAAACCTTTGGATGGTTTGCAGCCAAATTTAAAGCTGTGCATGGTGCTGATTGATGAGTGTCTGATGTCACCAGTGCCAACACAATCTACATTTATGGAGGCAAACTAACGTGAATTTGAAAAAAGCATGGACGACCCACTTAAAGCTAGGAGAGAAGAACAAGTATAATACAATCCATATGTAGATTGTTTATCTGAGAGGAGGCTAGGCTCATTACTTCAGTTTATATTATATCTGGATTCAGTCATAAAGGCATGTTCAGTGTAGCATGTTTCCACACCTAGCTGAAATAAGGAGAGTGCTCTGAAAAGACAGGCAGCTTTTCCCACAGGCCACCCTCATCATTTTTTCAGGAAAGGGACTGTAGCTGAGCACCTGTTTGGCATATATATAGCGGGTTCCAGGTTCAATCACTGGCATCTCCGGTGAGAAGGATATTCTGTGCTGTAAGATGTTTATTTGCTGCCATGAGAGATAGTGATGGCTACCAACTCAGATGGCTTTAAAAGGAGATTAGACAAATTCATGGAGGATGAGGTTTTCAATACCCCTTAGTCATGACAATTGTATATTATTTCCAGTCCCAGAGGTAATTGTTAGGGAACAGAGGTGGGAGGCAGCTCTTGTGCTCACGGCCTGCATGTGAACTCCCCTGGGCATCTGGTCGGCCGCAGTGCAGGCAGAATGCTAGGCTAGGTAGGCTTTCACTCTCATCCAGCAGGGCTCTTATGTTCTTATGATTAGTAGCAGGAGATCTGAAAGCCACTGGGTTAGCTAGGCGGATAGCTTGCTCTGGAATAGAGCAGCTTCCCATGTTTCTAAACTAGTGATACAAAGTTCACACATGCTGGTCTCATGCTGTTTTTTGGAGTCACATGTAACAGACAGAAACACCCCATCAAATGAATTACTGGAGAACTGAAATGGCCTATAACTATACCCGCTTTTGTTCCTTATGAATTTCTGGTGCCATGCTTGTTTGTTTAAGTGTCTTGTCTTTGCAATTCTATAGATAGAGTTCAGTGAGAGAATGAACTAAAATAGAAGGGACTGCTAGGTGCCCTGTATCAGATGGCAGATTTCAGGGTACCACTAAAATAACAGCAAATTTTTAATTCTTTAGCTATGTTATATTTTTATCATTATAAAGAACAGTATTTGTATGTCAAGCATCAAAATGCTTTGAATCAAGATAGCATTTCTAGCAGTTGGGTGAGGACATTTCTTTACTTACTGTTATTACTTTTTCCTGTGCACTCTGGTTTCTGTTCCTCTGTTTATATGGATATAGTATTTAAGTAATGTTCCCTGAGTTCCAGCTTTCTTTTCCAGGCAAAACTCTGGAATGAAAAAAGTGAAATCCTTCAAAACTAATCTGTTCAAAGGAAAGCAAAGCATGCACATTCAGGGAACTTGAGTTAAGATAATGCATTCTGTTATCAAGATCTGGTTGTGGTTGTGGAAACAGGCTAAAACAGAGAGCATGGTGGGGATTTGCCTCCAATTCTGGTACCCTTATACCTCTTGGGCTGGGCCAAAAGGTAGGACACTACAGCATTGTGGCAGGCTCCGCTGGATTAGAAACCAAGGTTAAGCCCGAAGAAAGCACTGCTCTGTGTTCTCAGCATGCAGGTGTGACCCCCGTGGGATCATTGCAGGTGGCAGCCCCTGTGACCACATCAGTGGTGACTGCTACTGCAAGCGTTTTGTTACAGGAAGATATTGCAACCAGTGTTTGGTGAGTGAGTGTTATGTCAATAGTACCATTATATTGGAGCTCAGGCTTGCAGGGTCAGAGCGAAGGGATTTCTGATTAAAAGCGCCAGTGTCACCTGCCTCCCCGCTTCAGGCCCTCCTCTTCGAACGTAGCCGTGATCCTCACAGAAGCTGTGGGGGTGGAGGGATGGATTTCCCTATAGTTGTAAGTTATTCCTACTGTAATATAAAGTATCTTGGGGTAGCTTGGTTTTGAATGGGAAATTAAGACCCATTTGCTTCACAAAAGACCTGTTCCTGGTGGAGAGGAGAATTGCTAGAACGGAATTGTCCATATGAATCATCATAGCTGCCTGCTTTTTAAACTTCTCTTGGGGGAATGACTGTGGAGGCTTTCAAAATGAGCAGCTGCATTTACTACTGAGGGCACCACTGACAGATAGACTGTGTGTTGCATACACTCTGGGCCTGACTGGTCTAATAGTCTTTCTCTTCCTCAGCCTGAATACTGGGGATTGAGCTATGACATGACTGGTTGCCGAAGCTGTGCTTGTGATTTTGGAGGTGCCTATAGTAACAGGTAGGAGTGTGACAGATACGATATCCTCATAGAGATACGAAGGAGAGAATTGCACTATGTGGTGGGATGAGGAAAGTAATCCACAGATGGCCAACTTCTCTACTCTGTTCTCAGGGGCCATGGAATTTGTCACTCTAGCATTTGCAGACTTCCTCTTGTCTCAGTCCTGCTTTAGAAAGCAAGCCAAACTGAGAAGAAATCACAAACACTTGTGGAATGAAGATGGGCAGCCTACTTGCTTGTCACATGCAGCACAAACAAAGGCTGCTGCACAGGACACAGAAGGGGGATGCTCTTATGCATCCTGCACAAGGCTCTATTCCTGGCAAGCAGTGTGTGACTGATGGGTGTGCTGGCAAGGAACTCATATCACGACCACAACAAATGGGCCAGGGAATCTGATGGATTTCCATGTGCAAAATCTGTTCCTCACACACCCATATTTAAGACACTGTAAAGGGCGGGATACAAAAATTTTAAATAAAATAAATAAAATAATATTTAGACCTATAAATTATTTCTATGAGTCATTAGTTTGGCTGCTGCATTCTGCACAAGCTGCAGCTTCTGAACCATCTTCGAGGGCAGCCCCACCCTAATCTAATCTAGAGATTACCAGGGTGTAGATTACTGAAACCAGGCTATCCCTATCCAGAGAGGGGAGTAGCTGAGCCAGCAGACAAAGCTGGTAAAAGGCACTCTGAGCCACTCAGGCCATCTCAGCCTCGAGTGACAGAGGTGGCGCAAGCACTCAAGCTATGAACCTGCTCCTTCAAGGGGAGTGAAACCCCATCTGGAACAGGTTGAACAGCCTCTATCCAGTGAGAAGAACCATCCACCAACACTGTCTCAATGTTATCTGAATTGAGCTTCAGTTTGTTAGCCCTCATTCAGCCCAGTGTGGAAGCCAGGCACTAGTTTAGCACACGCTCAGCCTCACCTGCTGACAATGAAAAGGAGAGATATTGCTGCATGTCATCAGCACAGTGATGGCAGCGCACTCCAAAACTCCAGGTGACACCCACCTAACTGTTTCAGGTAGATGTTGGATAGCACGGGGGACAGAACAGACCCCTGAGGAACTCTTTGCTGGAGAATCCATGGGGCTGAACAATATTCCCTATGCACTATCTTCCAGAGGTGGTCCTCCAAGTGCAACCAGAACCAATGCACTGCAGTGCCCCCTACTCCTAACTCAGGCAGTCACCCCAGAAGGATACCATGGTCGCTGGTACTGAAAGCTTCTGAGAGGTCCAGGAGAATCGACAGGGCCCCATTCCCCGTCTGTCTCCTTAATATGCATTTTCAGCTGGCAATAGCCTAAGGTGCACTCTAGACAGATGTTTGTGCATTTCTATCAATACAATGCTGAATAGGGAAATGCTACTAATATGTGTAGTATTTCCATTTCTCAGTTTGGAGGCATCTTTTTCTAAGAAATGAATCAGAACCAAAAAAAAAAAGTTCCCTTTAGCCTAATTAACATTTGGTAGGATTACCGGGAGTCAGACAAAAGTGTTATAGGAGCTGGAGTTGGTACCCATACCACCAGTTGTCTACCTTGGAGCAGTAAAGGAGGCAATGCTGTTCATGTCTTGTCTGCTAATCAATGGGATAAGATGCTAAGATAGGTGAAATGCTGCAGTCCACAGGATGTCTAATTAATTCAGTCCCAGCAAGGATTTCTGGGCTTGGCTTCTCTGTCTGTTACTGGAAGGGAACTCGCTTTTTTCTCTGGCTAATACTAGGGGTCTGGCTGCTTTATTGATACAGTAGCAGACAGTTTGAAGATACCACTTTGGTAACTGGGTATTTATGGCACATTGTTAACATGATATGGGAACACAGGGGTCTTTCAGTAGCATACAAATCGGGATTGAAATGTGCTGCCATCCAAGTAGTCCAGCTGGAATGCAGGATCTGGCATTTATGTAAGCCACCTTCTGTGTTTTTACAAACCATTGTAGAATTTGCAACATCCATTATGCTCAGTTTCTCTTTGCCCTCTGCACCTACCACCTATTCACTCTCTGAGTGTCATAAGCCAGTCCCCCTGCACTCCCTGCACTCTCCTTTTCTCTTCCCAGCAGATCAAGAGGAGAGGCTTCTAACTGCAATCTTTTATTATGTTAAAGCATGCCAGGTAGGACTGGCTTTGTGATACAAAGAGAGTATTGCAGAGGTTGTTAGCAAAAGTCATCCATCAAGTTAATGAGCCAACTAATTAGAGAGATTACTACTTAGACAATGAAACTGATTCCAAGCAGAATCCCCCTCCCTCTACCTTTCCCACCCAGTGGAGTTAGCTCCACCCTCAGATGGGTTCCTGCTACTTGGAGAGGAAGCTACAGAAAAACGCATCCAGTTTGCTTCAGCATGGTGGGTTGGCTGCGTCTCGTGCTGTCTGGCATGGTCTTGAGCTGCGGCTCCGCTGAGCCAAACCGTCCTTTTGGCAAGCATGCTACACAGGCACTGGCACATCCTTTTTCTGCTACCCTCTGCACCTCAGTCAGTACTGTGCAGGTCATTCCAGGTTTGCCAAGCTTTTTCAAAGAGCCCACCACAGGCCATCACTTTTTCTCGGCATTGTGCCTGCACCATTCTCACTGTTCTTAGTTCATGCTGTTCCATTGTCCTGAACTTCATGTTCCATCATGAGAGCAGCCACAGTTGCAATTACTGACACTGATCAGATGCCCCGTGCTAGATATAACTTAAGTATGCAAGTTTTTAACCAGCCGGACCGTAAATTCAAAGTGAGGTGGTTGAGTGTTCTTGAGTGCGCACCTTCCCCTCTCTTTTTGCCCCCCTTTTGCAACCCCAGCTGCACAGCTCAAGGATTTGGCTGCTCTGAGTCAATTTTTCTGTCATGCCCTTGGCCTCCAGGTGCTCTATGGATGATGGACAGTGCCCCTGTCGGCCTCACCTCATGGGGCGTCAGTGTGATGATGTGCAGCCTGGGTTTTTCTGCATGCCTTTGGACTACTATATGTATGAAGCAGAACATGCCACAGGTCTTGCGCCAACCCATCAGGGCCTACCGGTGAGTGAACCAAGATAATGGATGGGAGAAACCCAGGCATGGATTAGGGTTATATTCTGGGCCATAATGAGAGGTGGCGGCTGTGCCTAGAAAGCCCTTGCAGCAAAGAGAAAGTGTTTGCGTTGCTTTTGGGAATTGTCTAACCCTCAAAGAGATTTGTGGACAGGGGCTTTTTGTTCCCTCTTGGGCACTTGAAGTTGGATGGGGACGGGTAAAAGCCTATTAACCTGTATCCCAACCATCCTCATAACACACTTAACATACCCTATCCAAATCATGTTTTTTATCAAGGAGGCTGGCCATTCCTGTGTCAGTGGGGGTTCTCATTCATTGCAATTTTTATCTGAAGCTCTATAGGAGCTATCTGTAGTGCTGAACTCCATCCCCCGCAAATAGGTTCACTACCATGGGTAGCTCCTACAAGGCTCAAAATAAAAGCTGTAGTGGATAAGGAGTCACTGACACAGGGGACACCAGCCTCCCCTGCTTTTTCACATGAACAGCATGAGCAAAGAGGCACAGTGCAGATAGTAGTGATCCACATGCCGAAAGGCATGCAGTGAAGCAACCCGGGTGGCTTGTGTGAGAGTCAAACCACAAACTGTAGGGGAGTGCCATTGTCTGTCTGTCTGTCTGTCTGTCAGAGCCCTTAGGATGTTGGATGGCTGGGGAGGGAGCAGGCACAGCTGTCGGCAATAAGAAGCAACTGATAGTGCCGAGCAATAAATGTGGCCTCTCTGTCATAGGGTGCCTTGCGGCCTGAAGCCCCAGTGGACTGTGTGGAATATTACAACGGGGTCCAGAATGGGCGCAATATGAGGCTGCGCCGCCAGCATAGCACAATAAGACTCCTACAACAGCGAGGAGCACTCCGGAAAGCCCGGCAGCTTCAGCAGAAGGTGAGTGAGAATGCAGGTTGTATGGAAGAAAGAGGTTGCTGGGAAGGAATAAGAAAGAGGAGGTCATGGTGCCCGTGGGTCACTGATATCTTGGGCCAGAGCTTCATGAGGAACTGTGCAGTGCCAGGCCAAGATATGCAACCTGGAGTGAAGGCACAGGGCAAGATACCTTTCCCACTCCCCGCCCCACATTCTCTGTACTGAAGCTGACTGGGTTGCCAGCTGAATCTTATTTCAGCTCTGGGGACCAGATGGCATCTTTCATCATATCTGAGGGTAGCAGGCCTCTTTAGGGGCTGGTGTCAGTACAGGCTGTGTGACACACACTGCGACGCCATGCTCCCAAATATCTGCTATCTGAAATAGCCATGGTTGGGCTGGCTCTGCTACTGTGGGCTGTTCAGTCAGTGTTGGTTCGAAAAGCTAAGTGGATGGCAGGCAAGTCCACTTGGAACTCGATGAGCTTTGGCTGGTATTAAGCCAGGAGGAAAAAGCCTGGCCCTGTCAATTTAAAGGCATCTTAAGATTTTAAATGGTTCAGCAGTATTGTACAGAAGGGGCTCTGAAGCAGGTTGCTTCCAATTGCCTCTCAAGTTGCCAAAAGCCCTCGGTCTTTGTTTAGAGGCACAGACAGGTGATAGCAGGACCACGCAGGAGGGGATGTAAGGCCCTGATACTTTTTTGACACCATGCTTTCACCTGCAGCCTGATGTAGAAGTTACACCACGGGAGCACACAGGTCACATGATTACATGGACTGGTCCAGGCTTTGCCCGTGTACGGGATGGAGCTGGCTTATCCTTTCACATTGACAACATTCCCTACCCAATGGAGTATGACATCTTGTTGCGCTATGAACCTGAGGTAAGTGGAAAGAGCTGGAGGGGGTAGGATGGGTGTTTGTTATCTGAGCGGGCTCTGACATTAGCTTGAGAGAGAGAGCATGAAAGAAAGAGAGAGCGTGAGCGTGTATAGGAAATGAGCAACATTAGAATAGTCAGCTCAGGGATGCATGAACACTGGCAAAACATGTTGGGAGAGCAAGAATATATCATCATCTCTCCATAAAGTGTAAGTGATCCAACTGCTTCATATAAAATCATCCTGGTTCTTCTTTGTGGTCTCTGTGGGCATATGAAGGATCATATTTCAATGTCTCCAATGCTTAAGTGTCTGGAAACATATATCAGATAGAGGATGCTGCCTTCTTACTGCAGCATTCATGGTTCCATTCAATTTCAGTAGTGTTCCCAGAGCAAGTCATGCAAGTTCCAGAGCGAGTTCATTCTTCACTGGTGGACAAGGAAGGGAGATGGCCCAACTTGATGGGCAGGTGTATTTACTCCAGTTGCAATGCTTTGGAGGGAAGGGGAGGGAAATGAGTGCCACTAGGATACATCATATCTTGGTGCTACTGCTCTCCTCCCTGCCTGCCCAGAACCCCTTCCCCAAGGCCACTCCTACATCCTCAGAGATGCAGCTGACACAGTTCTCTCTGTGCCAGCTCTGAGGTGTGGGAGGTACTCCAAGTACTGTTTCCCAGCTCTGGGGTTGGAGCAGTTTTCCAGCTACAGAGCTAAGAATCCAGGCAGTGCTGCCCAGGAGCCATAGGATTTCTCTGTAAATAGATAATTTGTACATAAGAGACTACTGATATTTACTTTAGGGCTTTCAAAAGACAGCTTAGTGACAATTCTTTAGGACTTTAAGAGATCCTGTTATTGTTACAAGCCAATAAGAACAGTTTTTTTAACCTCAGGCTAAATTCTCTAAACCTGCACCCCAGCAGAATACCTTTACAACCAGTTTTGGGGTCTACTTCCTTTCACACCTGGATTTCTCCCGTTTTATTTCTGGCTGTTTGCATGATTTATCTGGATTGGTACTGCCTGCTTATATAAACATCCTCTGGCAAAATCCTAGGGTAGTCATTTGGCATAATTGGTCCCTACTCCAGATATTTACCAGCCACCTTAGGTTATTCCACAGAGAAGGAATAGTTTACTTTTCTTTTCTCCTCAACTTTCTCTTAGCCCTACTCACATACCATGAAACCGCAGACCTTTTCCCTCTCTCTCCGCAAATTAATTTTCAGTTGTCATTACCCAATCACTCTTTTCCACCCAGCTAGAATCCCCAGCCAATTTGTATTGAATTTCCTGATCCAGGCCCCAGCTAGCAATATTTAAAGCAATTGTTTCTTTCACTCACTTCACTAAATTACTGCTATGCTGATCTTCATCTATAATAAAACAAGGCCTCAGGCCTGCACAGATAGATTGGAACTTCACAGAGGACTCATAAGTACACATTATAGAACCACAATAATGACATGCATGCAGTTCTTCATAATTATTATATGTATTTCCACTTTTTTCATTTTGCAAGTGACCCAAAATTGCTTATATACTCCTCTTCCTCCTTTCTATTCTGTTTTCTCAACACCCCCTGCAAGGTAGCTTAGGCTGACAGTGACTGGCCCAAAATACCCCAGCAAGCTTCATGGTTTAGTGGGGATTAGTACCCAGAGTCCCAACACTTTACCCATCACACTATACTGGTCCTCACAACAGTTGTTTGTTGTGACAATGATAGAGGTAGCAGAAGATATTGGTTAGAGGGGGTCTATTATTCTTTCGTGAACTCTGGGGTAGGAGACGAGCACACTTTGTTAGGATGGTTGTGCTTGTGCCTGTTGTGCATAGGGGTGCTGGCTCTGTTTATCTACATCTTGGGGAAATACACATAACTGCTTACAAGGTAGATACCACAGCATTTAATGTAATGTAGATAAAGGCCAATTCACACGATAACAACTGTGCATGCTCCCCCTTCCCCCAATCCAGAATGCCATGTCCAAATGGCAAAGGGGTTCCAAGCACTGCTGCAGTGTTTCATTTTTCTATCTAACTTCTGATCAGAGACTGATATACATACTGTTGAATGAATTTGGTCTCCTATAATTCCTTATGAGCCAGGATAAAGAATCTTGAGAAGCGTGACTGTTTCTGCTACTGGGATCCAAGAAAGCTATGCTTATGGATGGTAGATGCTAGTTAAACAAGTTTTGTGTTGGTTTAGATAGTTCCCTGTATCTTATGTGTGTCTTGGAATTTGCAAAATTACCATTTCAATGCATGGGTACCAACATGAGATTATATCTTTGTTAGATATTGTGAAAACACATCTTGAAGACTTTCTTCCCGTCCACCACCAAATGCAATTTGAAGATAGGGCCTTCTCTGTGGCAGCATACTAGTTATTGCCTTCCTTCCCAAAGGAGTAGAGTCCAGCTCCATCCTTGTTGGTTTTTAGGCAGACACAGGAAGCATTTTTATTCTACTCAGCTTTCAGAAGTTTTTAACTGAAAGTTTTAAACTCTATTCCTTTCTAATTTAGGCCTCTGGTTTGATTTTGCTTTTCTGAGTTATTCTGTTGTGTAAGCCATTCTGGGAGCCATTATTATGGCCAACAAGGGGTTATTAAAGTGAAATAAATTTGTTAAAGTAGAACAAGAGCTGAGAATTGGAGAGTGTGTAACAGAGCTATGCACCATTAACTACACCAGGGAAAAAGAGTCTGTAAGCCAAACTTTCTCTTGTCTTTTGGCTTATATAATGTCTATGGATGGGTCTTTGAAAAGCAAACATTTCTTCAGTTTAGACTGATACTATCCATTTTGTGGGAATGAGGGTTATTTACCCTGGGACAGCTGCTTTAAGCCCTCTGTGTCTCCTTTGCAGTCTACAGAAGATTGGGAGGCTGTTGTTAGCGTCAGCTCACAGGCTTTACCAATGAGCCCACGCTGTGGCAATGTGCTACCCTCTGAGCAGATGTACCGGGAGAGTTTGCCGCATAGTTCCAGGTAAGAGCGAGAGGAGGAAGTCCAGCCTAATAATCTAACTGAGGGGGGTGGAGGAATGCGGAAGGAGGCTGTAAGAGCCCTAGTTAGTGTCAGTGGAATGTTTTAATGGAAATCAAGATCACATGGAGTGCATCCTTCTCTTTCATTTTATTTCAGATTGTTTACCACACTGGTGTTTTCTTTTTTGAGTCTGCTACTGCTTTTATTACAGGTCTCATGTCACTAATAACTAGTTTCAGGTTGTTTGATAAATGTCTGACTGACAGTATAAAATGGGGGCTGTCCTACATTCTGCACAAACAGTTATTTCTCAAAGCAGAAGCCAAAGGCAGGAAGTTTATTTGCTGCACAGCTTGACTTTTTCTTATAATTATTGGGCAGATAAACATTACTGGCTAGATAAAATTGTTCATGCAACTATATGTGTTTGTTGTTGGAAGGTAAATGTGGCTTTTTAAGCTACCAGTTTGCTATTCATGGTGTAAAATATATATCTGCTAGCAGGAACAGATTTACAATATTCTTTTGCACAGACATGACATTCGAAAAACCCATTAGAAAAGACTTTCAGTATAAAAACAAGTGCTGAAAAATGAAAAATGAAACCTTATGCAACAAGACCTGTTTTCCATGTTTTATTTTTGCAGTTCGTGTTTTGGCACAATTGACAAACAGGTGATAATTCTGTCATCCATGTATTTGCTGCTGGATTGCCTAAGTATTTATCATAATTAAGTGAAGTGCTCATGGTATTTTTGTGGTTAGGAAGCTGTTGATATTTTGGTTTGGCTAAGAGCCCTCTGCCTGTGCTAGTGGATTTTGCAAAAGCAATGGCATCTTTACTTTTCTCAAATTTCATCCAAACTACTCACCACGCAGATTTTTTTTCCCTGTCATCTGTTATTGTGATTTTTTAAACATTATGTCATTAATAAGCAGCTTAACTCATGTAAATATAGCATTTAGGGGATATACATTTTATGCAGGATTTCCTTCCTTATAGCCTTTCAATGCTCTGTTTTCTTAATTTTGTCTTCTAGCTTCTAACTTTAATCTTCTTTGCTTTGGGTGTATGTTCAGAGAAGGTCTGAAATTTTTAGCATGTCATATGCCTCTCACGAGGTTTTGTGGAAAGGGTTCCTGGTGTGATAGAATTGTGAAAGCATGGTTTTATGGTTAATTATGATTATGAAAACCTCTTTGGTTATGCACTGTGCTCACAATCAGTTAGTGTTCCCATGAAGAAAGGCATTTGCTGCTCTGGTTAGATTTAGCTCCCACTGGTTAATCAGAATATGCAAAGTCCTGTGGACCTTTACAGACTAGCTAGTTGATTGTTAATAGTCTTTATCAGGTATATTGTTAACAGGTAGAGCAATCTGGTATTAGAATTATTCTAGGGGAGGGGAAAGGAGATACACTGTCACTGCCCTGATGGAATTGCTGTTGTATCTTATGCATGCTCAACCCAGGAAGGAAGGAAGGAACACATAACTAAAAAATAAATAAAATGAGATAGAAACATTGGACATGCACTCTAGAGTTGAACAGGCAGTGTTTGTTCCCCTTCATGTTTCTTTGGTTGATTGGGACACATCATCATCATCATCATCATCGCTATTACTATTAGCATTTATATCCCACCTTTTTTCCCTCTTGTGAAGAACCTAAAACAGTGTACACTGTGCTTCTCCACTCCATTTTATTCTCCTAACAACTCCTGTGGGAATGGTTAGGCTAAGAGTAAGACACTGGCTCAATGCAACTTGGTGAGCTTCATGGCTGAGTGGGGACTAGCACCTGGATCTCCCAAGTCTCCAGTCCACTATACTACACTACACACCACACCACTTCAGGTTGTGCGTCTGCCTCTGGAGAAAACTGGTTTTACTCAGCCCAGTTTCTCTCCCACACCCCAAACTTTTGTGTTGACTTGTGTAACTCTAAGTGGAGTATAGAAGATGTGTATACTATGGATGGTTCATGACATTATTTATAATGACCCAGTAGTGTTGTAGTGATTAAAGCGCTGGAGATATCCAGGTTCAACTCTCTACTCAGGTCACAAAGTTCACTAAGATCTGGTTCATACATCATGCTCAGACATGGATGTTTGTTACCACAGGTCTACAGGACTGTCTAGCATGATGTCCAAACCCAGCACAGCTTTTCCGTGATGGGTTGATTCTTGCAAACTTACCACTCAGGGCATGTATGGAATTAGTAGAGTTGTTTAGGATGACTTTTTCTCCAGATAGCTTGTTGTGACATCCAGACCCAGCACAGCTATTTCAGCATGGATTGTTTTAAAAAAGTGGGAGAGCTGCCTGGCAAGAGCATTGAAAAGACCTGCTGACCGTTCCTTGCTAACTCTCAAACAATATCCCCTTTGAAATGACACTAGGCATCTTGGAACCACCTGAGGCCCACTGCAATATATTTGTTAGGCACGTCCAGGACAAAATCACTTGCATTCACTGCGACTTGGACTCCAGTGTTATTGCAGTGTAATCAGGTGCGATATCTGGAGCACAGCCAAGTCAAGGTTCTTTGGATGAGTTCCAGCTAGTATGACCCAAGACTGTTGACAAGGTGCTGGAACAGGTTCATGAAGCCACATCTGCACTGGACCCTTGTCCCTCTTGCAGGGAGAAAACTGCTGGCTGGGCCAGGAAGGAGATTATTGCCTCTTTATGACAAGGAGTGCTCCCTTGCCACAAGAAAAGAACAGTGGTGAGACTACTCCTGAAGAAACCCTCCCTAGATCCGGAAGAACTCAGTAATTTTAGACCAGTGGCAAACATCCCTTTCCTGTGCAAGGATATTGAGTTGGTGGCAGCCAACCAGTTGCAGGCACTCTTGGATGAGACCAATCATCTGAATCCATTTCAGTCAGGGTTCAGGACTGGTTTTTGGCGTAGAAACCCTGTCTGGTGACCTATGCCAGGCGTGAGACAGTGGGAATGTGACCCTATTGGTAGTTCCTGCACCTCTGAACAGCTTTCAGTACCAACAACCATGGTATCCTTTTGGAGTTACTGGCTAAGTTGCAAATGAGGGGCACTGCACTGCAGTGGTTCTGTGCCTACTTGGGTGGCACAGAAGGTGGTCCCTGGAGATAGTGCCTTACCTGCTGGATTCTCTAGTGTGGGATTCCGCAGGGGTTGGTCTTGTCCACCATGCTGTTTAACATTCACATGGAACCACTGAGTGAGGTCCTCTGCTGTTTTGGAGTGTGTTGCCACTAGTACGCTGATGACACACAGCAAAATTTCTTCTTTTTGTCATCCGCTGGTGAGGCTGTGGTTGTCCTAAACCACTGACAGTGGACTGGATTAAAGCTAACAAACAAAAGCTCAATCTAGACAGAGCTGAGATGCTCTTAGTGGATGTGTCTTCTGACCAGATGGAGGAAATTCAACCTGCTCTAGATGAGGTTTCACTCGCCTTGAAGTAGGTTAGGGTTAGGGCTTTAGGCCCATCTGGTGCCAAGCACACTATCTTTTCAGCACCAGGTTAACACTGTCCTCTACCACTGGGCATTTAATTAGTTTACTGTGGTTTTGCTTAATCAGGTCCCAATATTTACCTTGTTTAAGTGGTTTATATGTTTAAAATTTAGTTTAAAAATTTATGACAGCCTTTTGATGTTATTTTATAATGTGATTTATTTTAGTGGGTATTTTTAGTTGAATATGGTAAACCAGAGAACTTCAGCTATTGGGCATTATAGAAGTTAAATACATTTTAAAAAACTAGTCAACTTGTTCGTCCATTTCCTCATCTCTATAGACAGTGCAACTCTCTTCCATTTTGGGAAAAGTTGAATTATTTGGGGAAATTTGTGCAATTCTTCCTCCCTCCTTTGAAGTAATTTGCACAAATGTAACTTTATTTATGTTTCCTTTCAGGGAGATTTGCACAAATCTGCTTATGTGCAGGAACTACTGGACTTTAACGTATTTGAAGGTTTAAATGAATACATTTACATTTGTGCAAAATTTATTGAAGGGAGAAAAAGTAGTATATGCAAATGAGGTTGGCAGATTAATTGCCCTAACCAGATTGTTATTTACAAGCTGGTTGCATTCCTTCTCCAAGCTGGCAAAACAAGGTCACTGATTCCCGAAGACTGTAGACATCTGTGTGAACTGGACTCCTTGACCTTCTTGTGCCTTTTCTCATCATGGTGTGCTCTCTGCCTTCTCTGTCAAGTGAAGACCTCACCCTGTCTCCTCCCTACAGGTATGTACTTCTGCCACGGCCTTTCTGCTTTGAGCCCAGAAACCATTATGAGATCATTGTACGGTTCCAGCGGGCTGGTGTGACACAACGTCATCCTGCAGCCTTCATCCTTGTCGACTCGGTGAGAAACTTTTGTGTGCTAAAGGAAACATTATGCTCTTCTTTCAGCATGGCATAATTGCATCTTAGATCGTAGTAAGAGGCCTTATTGTTTAGCTATGACCAGCCCCAGTTCTTGTTCCAACCTGGCCAAGTTTTTTCTGATGTGTCTCTTCCTTTCCACAGCTGGTTCTTTTGCCACATGTGAAGGAGCTGCCTGGTCTCCATGGTAATGATCCATCAGCAGTGGAGCGCCGAGAAGCGCTAGAGCGCTACACATGCCTGGAGGCATTCCGCATGGCCACCATGCCTGACCTGGCGGAGACCTGTGCCCACCTGCTATGCAGCATCTCTGCACTGATGCATGATGGGGCTCTGCGTGAGTGAAGAGCCAAATGTGGGTCAGGACTAGAACTATATAACAGGTGGAAGAGTGAGGCAGGCAGACCTGGCCTTCTTTAGCCATGTACTGTAGTGCATAGGGCTATTACTCAAAACCAGGGCTGTAAAGCTAGGTCCTCATGTTAAAGAGGGAGCTGCCTTGAATCAGCAGTTGGTTGGTCTGGCAAAGGAGGATTCCCCAGGCTGAGCTTATCTAAATATAAGTGGAACATTTTGATAGTTACTTTAGAATGTTCTGGTAAACACTTTCCCCCTTAAATGTTTAAACCAAAGATCTAGAATCTGCAACTGGATTTGTAACACCAGACTGGTAGCATGAATGTCAAAAATATTTTAGGTGTTTGTCTTCATAACCATGAGTGCTAGAAACATGTTCATTTTAAAAATGACAAGCCAAAAGCTGAATTTGTTAGGATTAGTGGGCAGGTGTTGTAAAATAGACTCTTCAGTATTTCTCTATTTTGTTCCTGTTTGTGGTCTAAACAAACACACATGCTGCGTTTTATTGCCCAATTGTGAGTAGGCATTGTCCTAGACTTCCTTGATCATCAGTCTCCTCTAAAGAGGGGGTTAATGTGACTAGCTTCTATTCAGTGTGCTGGGGAGGTTTATTTGCAATTAGGTGGGGAGGGGGATGCCTCTTGTGCTCTTTCTACAAAGTTACTTCCCTAACCTTTGGCAGTGTTGTTTTTTCCTATCCTCAGCCTGTCAGTGTGATCCCCAGGGGTCTACCAGCAGCGTCTGCCACAAACTGGGAGGCCAGTGTCAGTGTAAACCCAATGTGACGGGTCGGCGCTGTGACCAGTGTGTCCCTGGCACTTACGGATTTGGACCATATGGCTGCAGTTGTGAGTAACAAAGACAGGGCCTGTGCGTACACTGAGCCCCTTGTTAATTTTTATGTTTCCTTCAACTGTGAGTTAGGATTACTTCCTACAGATGAGGTATCAGGATTAGATTGCAGCTCTAAGCTCCTTGCATAGAACAGTGAAGTATAAATAAAATAAAGGAGGAGTGGAGTGGAGTGGAGTAATCTTGGTCTTAACCCAGGGAGTAGCCAAGGCTTACATCCAGGTTGGAAAGAACTAGACCAGTAGCACCAACTACGGAAGTGCTGAAGCCAGACTCGGACCCTAATAAGCAAGTGCCTCAAGGGTGCCTTGAGTTATTGATCACCAAACTGCCTCACCTCCAAGACTGTAGTTTCTCTTGAAGCCCCAGTTCTGTTTATAACAGAGATTCTCCATGCCTGCTAACCAGTGCAGACAATACACAAGAACCTGCAGGGGTGTGAAGGGGGAAGTTACCTGGTCCAAAAGGGATAACATGTTTTAATTGAGCTCTAGACCTTTAGAACAAGTTATCTGCTTGAAATTATTCACAGCCCTGCAGCCTGATATTAAACTGCTACTCAGCTGACCAAGCCACTTTGTGGCAATCAACATACCATGTAGCTCCTATTCATGCTCAGGACAGGGGAACTTCTTTAGACTGGGGAGACTGGTAAAACACTGAATGCTCATCTCTAATCCTCCTCATCTCCATGGAGATCAGGACAGTGTATATGGTTCTACCCAGCATTTTGTCCTCACAACTATCCTGTAAGACCAAGGGATGGTAACTTAATCCAAACTAGTTTCATGGCTGAGCAGGAGTTAGAATACAAGAATTTGGGTCCTAGGTCAACATTCTTGCCACTTTACCACACTGCTGTATGTCAAGGAGTTATAGCATAGCCTTATTACTGACATCCTCCTTTCCTATGTGCTAGAAATAGGTTTATATAGAAACATAGAAACAGAGAGAGTCAGAAGGGGCTTTCTGGGCCATCTAGTCTAACCCCCTGTTCCAGCCAGCTTCGCTCATGACATGCCTACCATGGGCATGTCAAAAAATCTGTCCTTTGGGCTGGAATTGAACCAGCAACCTAAGGATGACTTAGGTAGTGCTCTACAGTCCTCTGCTCTACTAGCTGAGCTATCGAAGGGACAGACTTCAGCAGCCATTGCATCATTGGTAAAGTGTAACACAAGCTTATTTCATTAACCCTATTCCCTGTCTTTGCTGCATTGAAACTGTCATCTCTCTTGTACATCTGTTGCCTTTTCCACTTGTTGCTCCTCCACTCCCAATTTTTGTGTTACCTTAGAATATTCATATTGGCAAATAAGTTCACATGCAGAGAATTCTATGGGAATATGGTGGCAGTAATTGGGTCGGCAGCACACAAACATAAGAAAAAGGAAAATGTTCAACAGTCCTGGCAATGGAAGTGAAGGCTTGGTTGGAAAAACTTGTTAGGTCTAGATGTGCCCCCCCTACCCTGCCCGAATGAAAGCAGGAAACAAAGCAAGCACTGTTTCTTGTCTTACGAATTTAGCAACAGTTTCCACCTTGCAGCAAGAAGGAAACTGAAGGTACTCCTTCTGTGGAAGAAGATGGGAACAGAACATTCTCCACTTTAGGAAACTCATAGATAATTTTTGGCAAAGCTGGCCCCCAGTTCTGCAACATATTTAGCCTCACTCTTTCCTTGGTCATTGACAGCTCTGGAATTGTCTCCACAGCCTGTGCCTGTTCCCCTGAGGGTTCTGTCTCCAAAATATGTGAACCAGTAACTGGACAGTGCCGGTGCCAGCATGGTGCTGTGGGACGCCAGTGTGATCAGTGCCCACCAGGCCACTGGGGCTTCCCAAGCTGCAGGCCTTGTCACTGCAATGGACACTCGGAGGAATGTGACTTGCACACTGGAGCCTGCCACCAGTGCCGTGATTACACAGCTGGACGCCACTGTGAGAGGTGAGTATATGGGATCCGTGGAAATGTGGCAGCAGACTCTGTGGCTTGAGACTCCAAGTAAATTTGTCCCTAGCCACATGAAACATGAAATATTTCCTTTGAGAAAGAGTTCTGAGGAACCATAACTATATGTGCAGCTGGCTTTTGTATTCTAAAGATAAGAAGCCAATCCTGCCCTACTTCCACTGATCTGTCTTGGATGCATTGCCTTTCTTTATGTAAAAATTGTTTTGATTTGTCATGGAGCTACATATGCCATCTAGCTTGGTCCTCTGATCTCAGTCTTCTAGGAAGAGACCCTAGGCTCCATTTTGGAGGAATGAGGGAGATTGCACAAAGAGCTAACTGGTCCTGTTCACATATAATGGGAAGGCACCATGGGTGAATTTCTTTGTCAGCTTTCTTGCTCTGGCAGCCACCATTTTCAATATTCAGGACACAGTGGAGGGATGTCCTAGCTGCTCATTCTGTGCAAACCTGTGGTGAAGCTAGGTTATCGTGGTAGTTGACAAGATACCCACATTCTAAAACCCATGGGTTCTGGGTGGCTTAACCAGTCCAACAACCCATCCTTGCCAGGTTGCAACATAACATGAAGCTACTGCAGCAGGGGCTTCTATTGACAATTTGGCACCCATGACTGCTGTAACCCACTGTGCCACCTATTCAGCCATGGTAGGCTGTGGTGATCATGCAAGCCTGTCAGCTATCTGTGGAGAGAATAAGAGGAGGGGAGGTTAAGGAGGGTGTTTACTGTGAGGGCCTTATACTGTGGAACTGAATCATATGGATGATGCCAGAAATCTAATAAAAACCCACAAAAGAACAAAACTAGCTGTGAGGAGTGACCAGGGAGTAGAGGTGCTCATTTTAGACTGCTCTCACTGCATGTATTCTCCTTTTGCCCCTTTCATAGGTGCTTGGATGGTTACTATGGAGACCCAGTCTTGGGCTCAGGGCAACAGTGCCGGCCATGCCCTTGTCCTGGGTATCCAGGATCTCGGCACTATCATGGTATCTCCTGTCATGCTGACAGGGAGACCAGCCAGATTGTTTGCTTGTGTGCTCCAGGCTATACAGGTAAAGTATAGTACAGGGCAAGGAGTAGTGGTCACTAAGTGTATCTTATTGCAGATATTTATGTTCCAATATTGTGGAATACTCTACCCTTTGAAAGTTTGTCCTCTTGTATACCTCCACAAACTCCTCCCATGCTCACTCAATAGCAACCTGCACAACTGGTGACTTGCCAGTCAAGCCCATTCACTAGCCATGTATTGTATCCTGTCAGTTGCCAGCCTGACATTCCCAAAATAAGCATATTAACTGCACCCATAGCAGGTCTGAAGCAAGATAATTGAGTTCCTAGTAAGCTTTATGGCTGGTAGGTCATACAGTATGAGACCTGTTGTACCATTATACATGCACAAAGCAGTGAGCCCTGAACCTAACAACTAGCACAGGGGCTTTCAACCTCTTTGCATCATGGAAATGTTGAGAGAGTCTCAAGAGCTCACAACATAGCAACTATGAGAGAGGGGTTGCCAGTTCATAAAATGGTTGCCACAATGAGCTTGGCCAGCTGCCAGGCACTCGTTTCCCAGAAGTGAGCTGGTATCATTGAAAGAAAAGTAGCGCACCCAAAAATCTAACTACAAAGCAGAGGTGGAGGCTGAGCTCCAAAATGTAAAGCCACTCTTTTGAACCTAAAGAAAGATGGTGCTGGGGGACAACATTTCCCTTTGCAGTTTGCTAGCTTGTTCATTTTTTAAAATATAAGAGGGATGGGGGTTGTTCTGAGGGCAGCAATAGAGGACTCCCAGTTTCTTGATCCACAGGCCCACTGTTAACTGGGCTGAAAGCATCTTTCTACTAAAAGCATCTTTTAGTGGAAAGGATGATTTGACAGAGTTCCAGTTCCTATCAGACCATGTGGGAGAAAGGAAGGAAAGGGACACGCTGAGCACCTGCATGAGGTATGTGGGTCTACATGCTACTAATAACTTCCCATGTCTCGAAGGGCCACGCTGTGACCGCTGCTCACCTGGCTACTTTGGAGCGCCCGAGCAGGAGGGCGGAGCATGCCGCCCTTGCCAGTGCAACAACAACATTGACACCAGCGACCCCGAGGCCTGCGATCCACACAGTGGTCGATGTCTGCGCTGCCTTTACCACACTGGCGGACCCCACTGCGATGAATGCCAGCCTGGTTACTATGGCAATGCCTTCCAGCGGAGCTGCCGACGTGAGTGAAGTGGTTGGCTCTCGCTCGACTGGGGGGAATTTATGCTTTGGGACTCAGAAATGGTGTTCCATTGGCATAATTGTGGCTGTGAGACCATGTAGCCTAGAGATGGGAGGATGCAGTTGGCTTGGCTACTCGAGCAGCCCATTATTTGGGTCACATTCATATCAGCCTAAGCAGACACTGCCAGGGATGGGCAAATGAGCCACTTCTGAGCTTAGAGGGGCACTCCTGTTCTACCTTGATGTTTGTTTCACCATGCTTTCTCTCCTGAATGCAAGCGTGAATCTTTTCCTTGAACAGAAAAAGTACACCCATGCACACATGCCCCCTCCACTAAGGTGTAAAACATGTCCTTTTTGAAAAATGCATATTTTAAAGTGTGCATTTTTAAAGTTGCATTTTGCAAGCTTAAAAATGTGCAAGTCTTTCCCAAAAAATGAGCTTGCACTTGCATTTTGCATTGCAAGCAAAGCATTTATGTGACTCTTTCAGATGAGAAAGAAATTCTCATATATCCATAGATGTGTGATGGGACTATTGGTAGAGCTAAGTCTCTTTTGCTGTAGAACTATTGAGGGCCTCATTGCCATGTTAATACAGACTATTGTTGCTAAGAGGAAGAGACCAGAAAGAGGGATCTACAAGGGCAGCCCACTGTCAAGTGAGAGGTCATCTGGTACTCTTGGCACAAAATACATATTTAGACGATAAAGACTAAAAATAAAGAGAAAGTTTATAAGGAGAGAGGTGCTAGGGATCAAGTATGTTTGAAAGTCATACTTTACCCTTGATAGCATGTCCCAGGCTTCAGATCTTTGGGGCTGGTCGTTATGATACAGCACTCTAGTATGGTTTGCACTGAAGAGAAAATACTCTGCGTGTATTCAGAGGCATCCTATTGATGAGTATTTCAGAGGTTTCTAGGCATTTGAGTTGAAAGCAAAGTTTAAAAAACATTTTCCTTGTGCATGGTCAAGTGATCTACCAAGAAAGAATGGAAATAGCCTTGTTTTTAAGAGTTAGCAAAGACCCTGGTAACAGCACCTCTTGTTGCAGCTGCAGAGAGTGAACTGGTGCTGGTAGGTGGATTACTTGCAGTCGATCTTACCTGATTGTTCTTCTGGGCAAAATAACCATAAGAAGAATAGAAAGGTTGTGAAATATCTGCATTTATCATGATGGCCATTTAAATTTCTATTGGCAGGACAGCTGGCTAACTATTTGTCTTTTTTTAATGGTTGTCCTGAAGAAGAAGAATAAAAAGAGCTGACTAATAAAGCTAAGCAATGCTGGGTTGATTAAAATTTGTTTTCTGAAAGAACTGTTTTACTGCTTGAAAGAACTTGAGGTGTTCAAGGATAGGCTGGACATGTACATGGCAGGCATGTCATGAGTGGAGCCAGCTGGAGCTGGGGGTCAGACTAAATGGCCTGGGAGGCCCCTTCTGACTCGCTCTGTTTCTGTGTATCCAGAGTATTAGGCGGGAGACCCTTCTTTGCAAAATAGGCTCTTCTGTTCTTCTCTGTCCTAGCCAATACCTTCCTTTCCCCCACAGGCTGCACCTGCAATGAGCAAGGCACTCTCCCTTCACATTGCTCTGAAGACATCTGCCACTGTGATCGAACTACAGGAAATTGCCCTTGCCGTGCAAACGTGGTAGACAAGAACTGTGACAGATGTGCCCACAACTTCTGGGGCTTTGGCAATGACTTGGGATGTCAGCCCTGCAGCTGTGATCCTGCCCATTCATTACGGTCAGACTGCAACATGGTAAGCAAGCAAGCGCTTGACAAAGAGGAGAGATGCCAGGATAGCACCTGTGACCTTGCTTTGTTGGCATCAGATTGGGTATCCACATTCTAGCGTGCCATTGTCCTTGTTCTTACTGGCACCTGTTGTTCTATTCAGTTCACAGGGCAATGCCACTGCCAGCCAGGTTTTGGGGGGCGTGTTTGCTCCCACTGCCAAGAAGATCACTGGGGTGATCCAGAACAGGAGTGTTTATGTGAGTATAAGTACATAGTACAAGCAAGCATCTTCTGTCCCACACAGTGTATACACTGATACTTCTCAATATCTGTACAGCTGCAAAATCAGAGATATTTGGGGGACTGTCCTCTTGCAAATGGCTACTCTCATGCGCCAGACTCAAGTTCCTACTGATCATGTCCTACACTTATACCCAGATCCACCTATTTAGAAAATTAAAAGTCTAGGGGACTTTTAGGATTGGAATTTACTCTGGTGGGCCAGGGGCCCTGATATAATTCAAAAGAAAGAGGTTTCCTCAATTGAAAAGGAATAATCTGGAATGTACCAGGGTGTCCAGATAGGACTGAGATTCTGTCTGGAGCAGACAATGATATTCTGAATATGTGTGTGTACATGAGTGCACGCAGCACTTACTTCAAAAGATGATTTATTCATGGGTGTGTGTTGATGGGTCAGGGAGGGGCTTTCATAATCTGGCCTGCTCCTCCCCACACATTCTGGCACATCATAGCATCAATATAGATAAGATTATAAAGGTGTGCAGAATAAAGCTTTACTTGGAAGCAGCTTGTACTGGCTTGTCCACATTCTTGATGCCACTGTGAGGCATTTCTGGCTCACAGTGGCTTTTTTGCACTTTTCTCTTTTTTTGGAGATTGTGAAAACCAGGCATCAAGCCAGCTTTTGCAGTCCTCATTTTTGACAGCTATGAACAGTTCCTTTAAAATGCTCCCGCATATGAATGTTCCTGAGATGATAGAATGTTGGGAACATGTGCAAAAGTAAGGGCATCCTTGGGACACACGAGTCTCTGCCAAAATCCTGAGAATCTTTCCATGAAGGGGTTGAACAAGTCTCCATCCCTTTGCTAAATTAAGATTGCTTAGATCTTTAGTTACACTTGATAGCTTGTCTTTTGACAGCTGTCATGTGTAACCAATGGGAAAATTCACTTACCTGCAGTCTCTGGAGCAATTCCTGGAGGGTATCTGCTTATCTTTGCCTGCAAGCACCCCATTATACAATACCCATGTTCACAGTTGTGCAACTGTAGGTAAAAAAATTGGAAACATTTGTGAACATTATTGAAAACAATAAAAACAACTGTCAAGCAACCATGGACTGCCCCAGAAGGTGCCACTGGGGCATTTGGAAAATAATGGATGTGGTTGTGAAACAGGGATTGTGAAAGCTGCCTTGACAGCTGGCTTTATCAATCTCCAAGGGAAAAGATTTTAAAGTGTGGGGGGGGGGAGCCATGGCAAACCCAAATTGGCTCATGAATGCAGCAGGGAAATTATTCAGTTTTCTCATGGTGTACCCTGAGATATCCACAAGAGGGGGACAGCAACCCATGATGAACTTGATCATCTGTTGGAATCACTGTGGTTTGTTTGTACGGGTAAACCAATTCATCATGGCTACCTGGGCAAATTTGCCCAATGATTTATTTCAGAACTTATGTGTGCATCCTTCACTTTTTATGAATGGTAACTGGCCCAATATTGTCATCACCAAAAAATGCCCCCCACAGTTAGGGTAATTGTGCAAGTGGATTTATATTTGCCAGTTACTTAAGTGCTTTCGCCAGCCCTTTCCATGCATGTGATCAGAACCTTTATTGTACTGCATGTTGACTTGACTTCTGCTTTTGCACTGTACAGCTTGTGAATGTGACCCAGTAGGGTCTGAGAGTTTGCAGTGTGACCGTCTCACTGGATACTGTCCATGCCGAGGAGGCTTTATGGGACAACGCTGCGACCAGTGTCAGCGTGGTTTCAAGAAGAACTTTCCTCACTGTTCTCCCTGCCATCCTTGCTTCAGTCAGTGGGATGCTGTGCTGGAGCAGCTCTGGAAACACCTGCGACAGTTGCAGGATGCAGTCCAAGCCCTGAAGGAAGGTGGCCCCATACCTGAAGCCAGCAGCAGCCGTATGCGCAAGCTGGAGAATAGCCTGGGTCGTGTGGAGCAGCTTCTTGGCGATGGAAGTAGACCAAGCAGCACACTATTGCATGAGCTCAGCACCTTTCTGGCAAATATCAGGTAGGCAGAGGTGGAATGCGCCAGGATTATGGTGAGTGGAATTAGAAGACCTATTGAAATTAAAAGGGACTAAGTTGTTTAGTTGTAACTTAATTAAGCTGCATTTATTTTAATGGATCTACTCTTAATAGAACTAATATTGGCCAAAAGCAGGGAAGCTGTTTGTTTTTTAGTGGGTACATGCCAGAAATGGGTTGATATTTCAAATATTAATCTTCATTTTGTATATCAGTTTTCTTCTCTGGTCACATCCAGACTGAATATATAAAACTGATTTATAATCATTCTACCCTGGCCATTTTAACTAAGGGGGTTGCCTTATAGAATTGTCAATGCCTTAGCCAAACTATGGTTTTTAGAAATTTTCAGGGAAGGATATGATCAGAATTAGACCTGTTCTAGAGATCTTATTTGCTCAGGTGCTTCCTAGATCTTACAGCTTCAGCACTTGTACAGGAGGCCTTTTAATTTTTATTTTTTGCACTATAAAGCAGAAATGGAGAATGTTTTTCAGCCAGAGATTCAATTTCCACTTTGAAGACCTCTCAGAGACCTCTTTCCAGGGGTAGCTGGGGCTGAAGATGAAAGAGATAGGGACAAATACAAAAGGGGATCAGGCCAAACTACAAAAAATGCCAGCATATTGCTCTTGCTGCCAGTAACAAAGCCTTAGAAGAAGCTTTTCCATTGTTAAGAATGGGGAAGGATGCACAAAAATGCACCAACAAATGAAAGGTGGTTAGTGGGAAAGGCATGGAGCAAGGGGAAGGGGGGGGTGTCCTTTTGAAGGACCCCTGAGGGCCAGATTGGAACATCAGGAAGACTGGATCTGGCCCCTAGGCCTGAGAATCTGTAACCCTAGTTAGCTTTCTTCCTCATCTTAATCTCAATTCCAATATATCTTTCTATCTGTGACTTCTGATGTCACCGATTAAGTCGTTATTTTAGGTTATAAGAAAGAGAGAGATAACATGCCTGCCTGTGGTCACAGCACATTGTTCACCCACTGTTTCAGCTTGGTTTCCCATCTTACGTTACTTGTATAATGCATTGGCATAGTTTACATTAATCCTTCCTCTTTCCAAAATGAAATTCACCACTGCCATAGATCTTTCTGAAATAACACTTGTGTAAAATTATGTGCCAGCAGTACTGAACACATTACTAATTATATAAAAATACCCAAAAACTAAACATATGTAGCCCAATCCTGTGTATGTTATTCAGATGTGTGTCCCATTGATTCGGTGGGACACTTTATCCAAAGTCAGTTTGCAAAGGAGTGTAATACAGGTTGTGCATATTGTCACGTTTATTTGCCCTGCGACATAATCCTTTGTACACTTACCTGAGAGTAAGCTCCCTTAGCACAGCAGGATTGACTTGTAAGTCAACGTGGGTAGGATGGCACGACTACCTTGCAGACTTACTGACCCTCATGGACCTCATGTCACCACAGGGAGCCCTGCCAGTTACTGTGCTCCGTGGTTTTTTACCATGATCAAAATGACAGACTAGCAAGTGGTTTCCATCCTCTCCATTCAAAGCTGCTGCTACTGTGTATCCCATCAGCCACCATGCCTGCAATTGAATCCCAAGGTGCATCAGTCCCTGTCTATGTTACCTGCTTTCCCCTGATTGGTGTGCACTTTCTGGGTGTGTTCTCTATCCTCCTCTCCATGTTTTCTTTTCTTCCCATACTCCTTGGCCAAAGCTTCCTTTTGAAGAAGTAATTTTCCAATTTTTCCATTCAAATTCACCCCTCAGAACATCTTTACGCACACCCCTTCCCTCACTTGAAGATATACTGAAACTTGAGATTGTCAGGAACCACAAGCACATCAGCTAGGTTTCTCCATGCATCTAAACCAGCAGAGAGCATGTGCATGGCTCTGCTGGACCCTCTGTCTCCCTGACCATGCCTGTAAACACCATTTTCTTGTTTTCTGCTCCATCACTAGGAAAAGGTCTTTTCTCCACCCTTTACCTTAATGACCAGCCATGGAGACTTATCTGTCACCCTATTCTCCACTCCTGTATGCCACTGTAGTGGGCTCAAGATTTTTTGGACTCCCAAGGAAAACAATGCGCCAGATCTAGGTCTGCTTACAAGGAGATTTTGTTCAGCATATTCTCAATCAGTAATCCATCAGTGAGCCTCCCTTCCACCAGCTGGAATGGATGAACAGTGAAGCCTGCTGGTTCAAGTCCAAAAAAGAGGGCCTGTCTAGTGCTCAGCAAGTGATAGGTTACATCCATGTTGTATCTTTAATATCATGAAGCCTAACACTACTGATACACAGTCTTTCTCATCATAAACTAATTTTATCGTGGCAGATAAAGAGAGCATGTGCCGCATAGCATGGGGTATACCTGATATGTAAGCACATGCTCATTATTCCTCATGATGCTGTGTGTCCATCTTCCTTGCTAAGAGGCCTAATCCAAGCAGACAAGCTGTGGACCCTTCCCCTATACCCTTTGCCTTCTATCGCCCCTCCCTGCCTATTATTGTTGCTAGTCCAGGATGTTTCAGGTAGTACGTATTCCCAGAGATGGTATCCTCTGGAATCAATCCATTCTGGCTATATTCATCTCCCTCCTTTTCCTTCTTTCAGCTTAGTTTCAGGCAGCAGAAGTGCCTCAACAACCCATTATCCCTCCTCATTCCTTTCTTGTCTTACTGATGCTACTTTTTTTACATTGCAATCCATTTATATCCTACCTTTTTTCCTATTCTTCTGAGAAACCTGAGATGGCTTAAATAGTTCTTCACTCCATCCTTACAATAACTCTGGTAGGTAGGTTAGGCTATGAGTGAGTGACTGCCCAAAGTCACCCAGTGAAAATCAAGGTGAAGTGGGGATTAGAACCCAGATCTCCCAGATCCCTGACCCTATTCTTCATGTCACACTGGATCTTACCTTCCCTCAGCTCCTCTGCGCTGGTCCCTGCTTTGCACTTCTCCATCAGTTCCATTTCCCCTACTCTCCGCTGCTCACAATCCTGCATACCAGTTGCTTTTCTCCCCGTCATATGCCTTTGCATCCTTTTGAGTGAGCATGAAGACTAAACTTCCTTCTCCTTTTCTTTGCCAGAAAATACATGTTTTCCTAAACATCTTCATGTTTGAACCCTATCCAATCTTTTTCCACACTGATAAGAAAACATTCCCCAGTGAAATGCATTGCGGACTTTATTTTAACATGGACAAATCTTCCCAATCCCAAAGCAAACCCTCTTAGCAAGAAGGACTGTTTTATAATAAAGTATATTTTTTATTTCAGTGGTATAAGAAAGGTTTGTTTTCTTAAAAAGATTTCTTTATTTAGAAACTGCAAGTTATTGTTTCTAGTATACCTGTTACAATTTTATTTTGTTGTCCAAGCTGTGCTGCCCATAAACTCTGCCCATAATCTAATTGCCCCCACCCCATTATAGCATTCTTCCCTTTGCTTACATGTATCCAAGTATTCAAATATTTTGAAATGGAAAAGGGCATGACAACTAAGATTGCCATCTGCTGTCAGAAAGTGGTACTTTCCAGCACTGTTGTATGCTTCTCTGCAGCTAGAAAATGATAGGTGGGCTTCTGGATCACAACAGAGAGGGATGGGAACAAAGAGCACCCTATAGGAGTAAGGCATGCGGTGATATGTCTGTTACTAGGCAGAGATGGGCAGCAAAGTCTGGACGGCTGGAGAGGTTCCTAGTCTGTTTGCTGTTTCCAGGGGACTCTGTGGGAGTTGAATACCAGGACCATGGAAACCTTGATTCCAGGTTTGGATGTTGCAAGAAACCATGTGGTAAGCAGAAACCATTGAACAAACCATTGTCTGGGTTCACACATCATGAGAAGCCATGGTATTTTTTTACCCTTATTGGTCTGTCATGTCACCTGGATCCAGTTGTGCCATTTCTGTGTGGTACCATTAGTTTTCTGGAAATGACAGAGAGAATCAGTGGTCTGTTCTAAGGTGTCTGCGCTTCACTGTAGCTCCTCCAGTTGTCTGGACCCCGAATCGCCTTTTACCATTGTTGGTATGGGAACACCATAGAATCCTGTGGGGAAATCAGCTGTCACTCAGGCATCTGTTCTCTACTGCCCTCATTACCCTTGCAATATGTGACATCACCTGCTTTATTCTTATTGGCCAAGTGATGTGCCCATCTCCCTGATCACTGGGAGAAAGCAAGTAAATGTATAGAAGGAGAAGGTGAGAAACATGGCAAAAATGTTTATTGTAATTTAATTTAAAAATCATTTGGGAGCTAGAAAGTGTTGCAGAGATGCAGGTACACTTGGGAGCAGGGACAGAGAAAACCTTTCTCCGAACCTCAGTAAACCAATCAGAAGAAGCTGCTGTGGTCCATAGGGAACAAAAGAGTGAGGAAGGAAATTTCACTTGCAAGAACTGCTGAAATGTGAGATGAAAGCAGGCGGATGGAGTGGGGAGCATGGAAACTGTGTTGTCCTGGGAACACACAGTCATCTGACTGGTAAGTTCAGGCAAAACTCTGCACACTGGAGAAACCATGCAGACTTGTTTGTCATGATGTGTGAACCCAGCCATTGTTTCTCATCATGGTTTCTAAAGATCAAAAAAGGGTTTTAAAAAGTAGCTTGTTGTGTGATGTAAACCTAGTCATGGTTTAAAGAGTATTTACTGTAAAGTATGATGAGATTTAGAAGGCAAAGTAGAAGATTGAAAAAAATATTGATTTTATTTTTACTAAATATATTTGTGTTGCAATAACCTTACTGGAGAAATCTGAGATCCCTTAATCCCTATATGTTAAAATAGTCAGTAGAAATTACAAAGCTGCAATACCAAAGGCAAAGACGATTGACAATCAATTGACAATTGTGCTGAAACCTAAGTTATCAATGGTATTTATCATTATAAATATACCGATAATATTCTATTATTTGGTTTGTTTTCACTGATCTGATTGTATTGGTTGAAATGCTCTCTTTTCAGTATGTCTTCTTGTTACTTTTTTTTTGGATACAGAAAATATGTTATTTCCTACTGAATTTACATTTCAAGTGTTTAAAGAAACAGGGGAGTATTCTCAATGACAGGGATATATGGTACTGATTCATTTTTCTCTAACTATTTAAATCCTTTCTGCAAGGATTTTGTGGAAGCATTTATGTCCCCTCCCTACTGGACATGTAGGGAGGGGACAACTTTCACACGTTCCTTTCACATGTTCAAGACTTTGACAGCTAGTTGCATTGCATGCTCCTGGCACTTGCCGCTTCTTTTGGCTATGGCTCTGCCATGGCTGCTGCCTTCAGCTCTCTCCCCTTAATTTACCTGACAGAGGAAGGAATGGCATGGTCAGAGGCCTAGCAAGACTGCTTCTACTGCAGCCCATGCATTCTTCCTTGTCCTCTCCATTGGCAGTAACCTCAGTGGAACAACTCCACTTCTTACCTTCAGCCCAACCCTTGCTGGAGACACCCTTCACTCCTCAAGAATTAACAGTAAGTCAGAGTTCCAAGCCCTGTGAGGATCCTTAAGCAGAAGGATAGTGAGGTTTCAGATGTACATGCTATATTCTGGGAATGAAATGAAGGGAGAGGGCAATCTGCTGGTAGATCGCTGGGTGATTATCTGGGATCTTCAACACCCATTTGTTTCAAAATAGCCATTTTAAGCCTGAATGGAATTGCTGATCTGTAGTTACTTGGAAGTTAATAGATTTGTGCAGCAACTCATTCTAGTGCATGCCTTATAGGGCGACAGCGCCTCCAGTCCCTGAGACACAGTTTTGCATCTCTTTCCAGTTGGTGGATCTTGGGGTTTTAGTAAAAACCAAAGTAGAACTGACAAGCATAAAGTCTTGCCACCCCTGCTCTATTCCTCAGGGCAGACATGGATGAACTATGGCAACAGATGCAAACCACAGATTCACATCTGGGCAGAACTGAGCAGAAAGCTGCAGGACAAAGGGACCATTTGAGCACACTGAGGCGAGAGCTAGGGGAGCTTAACCGCACAGTCAGCTACCTCAGCAGTGAACTGGGAAAGATGACAAATGCAAGCTTCAATGGTAAGAAATATAGCCACAGTGACCTCACAAAAGAAGTGTCCACGCAAGTCACGGGCAAGAACATTCCTTTTCTGAAACATGTCTGGTTTCCCTGTGCTGGCAGAGTCTTTCCGTAGCATCCTGGCATCCTTCCAGCAGTCAGAACAGGCCCAGCAGCGAGCAAACACTTCAGTTCAAGGGCCACAAAGTCCAGTAGGCCAAGCCAAATACACACGCCAGGCCACTGTTGAGCTGCTGAGACGCAAGGGAGAGGCCTTTCGCAGGAATGCAGCTGCTCACCAGAAATCACTACGTGATATCCAGAAAAGGGTTAACAACCTCAACCTGAGCAAGATCAATGAGAAAGTGAGTTCCACATGGGAGATGGGGTTGGGCAAGACAACTGAGGGAAGCAGGGATAATTTCTTGAAGATATGAGTAGTCATCCAGACTTCGATATATCTGACTTCAGTACCTTTCTTCTGTTTTGTCAGGGGACTGGGGTCACATCAGATACCTGTCTTCTTGGACTAATCCTGGATTGCTGTCTTGGTCTAGATCTGTGGTGCTTCTGGAGAAGACAGCTGTGAACAAGCCCCCTGTGGAGGAGCTTCCTGTAGAGACAGCTCAGGCCAACGGCACTGTGGAGGCCCTGGCTGCACCGGAGCACTGCCTGTGTCCATGAATGCCGTCTATACAGCCCAGAACATCTCTCAGCAGCTGGAGACCATGGCCAGTCAGTTGGGCACCATTGCTAATAAGGTACAGTGGCAGCATCAGTGTATCTAAGTGGCATGTAAGGAAGAGATAACATGTTAGAATGAAGATGAGGACTCTCCCATTATGTTAGGGTCTCCAGATCCTAACAGGAGTGCTTTATTTAAGGCTTCACTCAACTTGGAAGAGGAGCTTTGTAGGTCTGTTTGATGCCTGTTCCTGAAATATTCCCAGCTGTGTTATACAGCAATCAAGAGCTTAGGTCTGATGCCTAATCTCCAAACTGAGCAAATTATTGATATCCAGCAGAGTGGAGAATTTTGTAGAATGTAGGAAAAGGTCAAATGTGTTAAATCTGCCTGTATAGTACTGAGGGGGATATTTTTAAAACATCTCAGCACACATTCCTTCTAGCCTATCCCCACTGTTAAGATCTGAAACAAGCCAATCCCATTTTCCCTTTCCCCTTCTCCAGCTGACATCCCCAACATTTGGAAGTTATCTGAAAACAATGGACACAGCTCATCCTCTAGCTATTTGTGGAAGGTGTTAAATATTTCTTTTAATTTACAAACAAATATACTTTTTCATCACAGATGAGTCACCCAAGTATGTGTCTACTAACTTATTTTTGGGTGACCTCATTTAGCTTCTGAGCAGACATGTACAGGTTCAGCCAATTTTTATATTACAGAAAAGGATGATAATGGCTTATAATACAGAAGAGGAATAATACAGAAGAGGAGGAATGGTATAAATGTTATAACTAAAACATAATAAATATAAAGTGAACAATAACCAAACCAAAAAAACTGTTGACCACTTTTTGCTATTATTTTGCAGTGCTGAATAACCAAGGTGAGTTGGGAATAGATGTGCTTTCAGGCAACACAGGCTGATGGTGTGGCCTGAGAGTCTTAGTGAGTGTTATCTGGGCACTGAACAATTATTTATCATTTATTAATTACATATTTAATTTCCCAGCAATGAATGTTCTCTGGGCAGATTACACAGATTACAACCCATTAAAAACTAATATGCCATTTTAAAAGAAGGTGAAAATATAAAATGCAATACAATTATTTAAAATAAAAATATAATATAATAAGCAATAAACAGCACAGGAATTGAAAAAACAGCCACAATGACCTAAAATGACTGGAAAAGGAAAGATCTTGTCCTGGTGTCAAAAGGATAACAATACAGGGACCAGGTAAACCTCTTTGAGGTATTTATTCTGTAAGTGGGGTGCTATCAGTGAGACAGCTTTCTTTGGTGGGGGAACTGGAGGGGGGTCCCCGAAGATGGCCAAGTGGATACACGCAGTACAAGATGTGCCTCTAGCTAGTCTGGTTCCAAGCCAATTATTGCTTTAAAGGTCGACACAAATCCTTTCAATTGGGCTCAGAAAAGGATTGGAAACTAGGGCAGCTGATGAAGTACTGGCATCACATGAACAAATCATTGTCCCAGTTAGTAACATAGCAGCTCTATTTTCCACAAACTGTTGCTTTCGTACCATTTTCACAGTCAGCCCATGTACAATGTATTGCAATAATCCAATCAGGAGGTTACCTGAGTGCAGATAACTGTTGCTGGTCTATCTCTATCCAGACAGGATCACAGCTACTATATCAACCTGAATTGACAAAAGATGCTCCTGGCCACTGAGGCCACCTGGAACTCACATGAAAGCGATGAATTCAGGAGCAACCCCAAGGAGTGCTCCTGGTCTTTCAGGGAAAGTGCAAATGCACTAAGGCTGGTTGAATGCCACTCAAGCAGGCAGATGAACCACTGTCTTGCCTGAACTGAGCTTCAGTTTGCTGGCCCATTTCTACTTCATTAACTTACTCAGGTACCACTTAAGGACACACACTACCTCACCTAGGTTTGTTGGAAAGGAAAGGTAGAGGTGTGTGCTTCTGGCATACTGATGGCACCTCAGTTCACATTCCTGGATAACATTCCCCAGTGGTCCCCTGTATTTATTAAATAGTATGGGGAATAAAACTGAGCCTTGTGGAATCCTGCGACATAATTGCCATGGCACAGAGCAGTAAACTTCCTGGACCAGCTCTTAACAGTGAACATCTAAGTAGGAATGGAACTACTGTAAAAGAGTCCCCCCACTATGCCAGCAGCCCACAACCCAGACAGCTGCTTCAGATGGATGCAATGGTCAGTAACAGGGATGTGTGAGGAATCCATTTTGGAGTGGAAATCTCCTGCCAGTCCACAAGCATTTACAGACTTTCTCTTGGCTAAGCTTACTTTAATTGGGCCAAGTACAAGAGGAAGTCCAGGAAAGCTTGGAGGGACAGATTCTTATAGAGTTCAGAACCCTAGTCAATTATATTAAAAGCCCCTGAGAAGTCCGGAAGAATCATCAGAGTTGCACTCCCCCCTTCCCTTGCAGCAGAGGTCATCCCAAAGTAGTTTCTGTCTCTAAACCAGACCTACAACTGGATTGAAATGGATCTAGAAGACCAATTTAATCCAAGAATGTTTAGGGTTGATCAACAACCACCTCACCGAAGAAGGCGATGTTAGCAAGCAGCCTACAGAGTTCTCTACCTCTGGATCTGAGTTTGGTTTCCTCAGGAGCAGCTGGATCACCACTCTTTTAAAGCAGGAAATATTGCCTCCTCTCTCAAGAAAGAATTTACAACTTCCCAGACCCAAGTGGCTATTCTGTCTTTCTTAGATATAATAAGCCAAGTTTGGGCAAATATCAAGCATACAAGCACTAGGTCAAACTCATCCAAACACCTTGTCTGCATCCACATGCAAAATGCTACCATTCATACAACATGCCCCAGAATACTTAGCAATGCTTAGGGGTTCTTTTCTTTCCAAGGATTCCTTAGCAAATGAACAATGTGATGTGCAAAGAATTCCCTAAATATAGGAAGTTTGTTTCAGAGTTCTAAATAATATATGATACACTATATGACCTGTTGCAGATTTAGCAGGGTCCCAAAGATCCTTTTGATGCTTTCAGCCAGGTGTGCTTGTTACAAGAAACCTCCCAAGTTCTGCATCCAACTAGCCCAGGTTATGCTCTCCAAACCAATGATGTAAATCAATTATCATATATTTTATAATTATTCTACTTCAAAACCTTAGAAGTATCAAAGGATTTGGTATAGGGGAGCAACTGATTTGGATGACATCTGACACACAACATGAAGATTTGGACAGGCAGTAGAAGTGCAGGTTATAGGATTTATGGAAAGTTCTGATGAACAGTATACAAATAAGTCCTGCTCTCTAAGGAAAAGCTTTTCTAGTCCTGCCCCTGCATTCGTTGATGCTTCTAGGCATTTCTTTACAGAAGTGAAAATCAAAATCTTCGGCAAGTATTCACTCACTCACCTTTAGCTCTTGCATTGTGCAAGACTTGTGCTGTCATGATGTGTGTTCGTTCACCATGCCATACTCCTACTTCATCTCACCCTGAAGTTCTAAGCTGTGGCTTCAACTTTAGGTACAAGATATCCAGAACTTGGCGCAAGATGCCAGAAGCCATGCTCACAACATTTTGGGCCATGCTCAAGGAGCCTGGAGCCGTGTGGAGAAGTCAACAGCCAAGCTGAGGGAGTTCATCCAGAAGATAAAGGACTTTCTAGCAGGTAGCAAACCATGGCATACTCTGAACGTAAGGCAAATGTGGCATGAGAAGTGATTAATTTCATGTTGTTGCTGCCGTGTGCCATCAAGTCTTCTCTGACTTATGGTGACCTTATGAATGCAAGCGCTCGAAAATGTCCTGTCCTTGATAGCCCTGTTCAGCTCCTCTAAACTCAAGTCTGGGGCTTCCTTCCTGAAATTAATCCATTTCATATTTAATGGATCTATAGCATCTTCCTCTTTTTCTGCCTGTGGCTTTCCTTAGCATGATTAACTTCTCATGATGTACCCAAAGTATGACAGCTTCAATTTTGTCTTTTCTTCTTCCAGGAAAAGTTCTAACTTGATTTGATCTAGGACCTACTTGTTCATCTCTCTGTTGGTCCAGGGTATTTGCAAAGCTCTCCTCCAGCACCATGTTTTGAACATGTCCATTTTCTTCCTGTCAACTTCCTTCATTTTCCAGGTTTAGATCTTGTTCTCATGGGGAAAAAAGAGAGGATGTTAATGATACAAATATATTTGAACCAAATTATGCCATAATAATGATGATATTCAGATATTTGGATTTGGGGTGGTGGTCAAAGCCTGGCATGGGAAACAGGGTTGAATGGTTATAGGCATATCTGCACACATCTAACAGCAAGGGTCTCTTCTTGTTTTCCTAGAGGAAGGTGCTGATCCAGAAAGCATTGAACTTGTGGCACAGCAGGTCCTGAACATCTCTCTGCCCAGCAGCCATGATCAGATCAACAATCTGATTAAGGAGATCAGGGATGGAATCAGCCAGTTGAAGGGAGTGGACATGATCCTGAACAGCACCGTGCGTGATCTGACCCATGCCAGGGAACTACTGGTGAAAGCAGAGCAGGCTAAGTCAGTCTTTTTAAAGTTGTTGCTAGTGAAGCTTTTCATTAAAGTCTTGCTTTTAATAAAGTGGACAATTAGCTTACAGGCCAAATCTGTTGATCAAAGCACACTGAAGTAGCTCTTAGATCCTTCCCTCATACTTAGTTCACATGATCAAACAGCCCATGATTTGTTAACCGTGGGTTGTTGTGAGCACTCAGGAGAGAGGGAGCATGCTGGTTCTCACCTGCTTCTGCTTTGCTAAACTATCCAGGTATTTGCCATGATATCCAACTCTGTTGTTAAAGGAGAAATTAATCCAGAATTTTAACACGTAGCTTGTTCCTGGGTTAAAACACTAGATTGTTTCTTTCTCATCAAACTAAAGTTCCAGGTTTGGCCATCATGACAAAACACCCAGGAACAGTAGTTCCTGAGTTGTTTAGCAAAGCAGAAGCAGGCAAGCTGTTAGAAGAAGCTAATTTACTCCTATGCACTCACAAACAACCATTGTTTGTCAATCATGGGTCGCTTGATTGTCCAAACTAGACCAGTCACTAGTTTCTGGTGATCCTAGCTATACTTGTTTTTGTACTGCTTCAAACTGTATCCTAGAAAAGCTAAAACAAACTCCCTAGAATTGTGACCATCTCTTCTTACAAGATGTGTATATGTTTGGCATGCATGTCAATAGTTCCTTTTGGCTGAGTACTTTTTCCAGTTTTTTTAAACCTGTGGAATTTTGCATTCTTTTCCAAAGATTTGCAGGAGCACTTCTGTAGACCTTCAAAGAAGAAAAACAAGTGTAAGCCTCTGTCCCCTTCTTAGCAGTTCCACCATCCCTCAATAATCTTTTTGTTATTTTTGTAAATTGGCGTGAAATGACTAGTGCTTGCAGACTGGTCCATTCTGTTTCAACATCTCTGTTACTTAGATACTTGGGGTGTGTGCATGTATATGATCTTTCTTTATTGAATTTTATAAAGTGGACTTCAGGCACAAAAGCTTAAACTACACTAACATTACAAGTTTTTAAGGTGATACAAGACTCCATCGCATTTTTCTCTGCCCTTGTATTTAGGGAGAGAGCAGAAGGGGTGGAGGGAACAATCACTGAAATACATGCAGCACTAGAAGATGCTAAGGACAAAATGAGGGCAGCAAAGCAAGCAATGAAGAGTGCAAAGGAAGTCATCCGGAATGTGGAAGGCACAGTCACACAGGTGAGGTGGGCAGTTCCGGTATTTGTTTTCAGCCTGGGCTGTCATTTCACCTCATATTGCAGATATATTTTCTTTGAGTATCATAGTAGTCATTTTAAAGATTATTTCCTTCCTTTCCACTCTTGAATGACACATTAACCTATCTTGTATTCAGCAAAATGCAAGAAGCTTTAGGGAGGAAAGTCAAGAGCTTCGGGGCCCAGAAAGTTTTCTCTTCAATCCTTCTAGTTCTTGGAAGAGGAATAGACAAGGAAAGAAAAATACTCCAAGTCAATTCCTGGCTGCAAAGGTAGTGCCAACATTGAGCGATCTGGATTTTGAGGCCAGAGGCTACACTTTCCAGAAGATGGACTGCTGGCAAGGGATGGGTTGCACCTTAGAAGAACTGGAAATAATGTGTTTGGCCAGCTCATAAAGAAATGTATTAGGGAGGCTTTAAATTGAATCCTGTGGGGGGAGAGGGGGGAGAAATACACCAGGGCATAACAACAGACAAAGATTTATCCACTGAAACAGAGGGAGCAGCTCTCACAGTGCCAATTATAGTCTTCCAGAAAATGTAGGAAGAAAGCTAAAGTACAAACCACATGGTCTTTGATGTCTATATACTAATGCTAGAGAGTATTTCTTAGAGTATGGGAAACAAACAGCATTTACTTGAACTCTTAATACAGGAGGGTAAATATGACTTGAAAGGTATAACTGAAACTTGGTGGGATGACTCCCATAACTGGAATTCAACAATTGAAGGATATAACCTGTTCAAGAAGAACAGAAGGAACAGAAAAGGAAGAGGAGTCACACTATATGTCAGGGGTGGCCAAACCAAGGCTTGGCCAAACCAAGGTGGCTCTTTGAGTTTATTTTGTGGCTTGCCCCTCGCCCCTGTTGGTGCCCATGGGTGCCCACTTCCTGCTCACCACCTGCCACTACCACCCATGGGTGCCTGCTTCTCACCTGCTGCTGCCACTTGTGGGCACCCATTTGTGGCTCTTGAACATCTGACAATTACCATATGTGGCATCGAGCTAGTCTGGCCACCCCGGCCGTATGGAAAAGATACATATCTCTGCACAGAAATACAGAAGGATGAGCTTAGTAGCCCCATTGAGAGCATCTGGATTAATATAAATGGAGCAAGGAATAAATGAACACAGTGGTTGGAGTCCATTACCCAGTCAAGGAGAAGAAGAGCATTAAACTTTTGGAAAGTGAATTGCCAGTGTATCCACGAGGCATGATGCTGTCATTACAGGGGACTTCACTTTTCCCAGTATCTATTGGGAGACACATTCTGCCAAACACGACCCCTCTAACAGATTCCTAACAGGTGTTGCTGATAACTTCCTCCAACAGAAAGTGGAGGAAGAAACTAGAGGAATGGCTGTCCTTGACTTGATACTAACCAACAGCAAAGACCTAGTGGACAAAGTGGCAGCTACAGGAACTCTGGGAGAAGTGACCATGCCATACTTGAATTCTTGATTCTAAAGGAAGCAAAAACCAAATGCAGCCAAACATGTACCCTGGATTTCAAGAAAGCTAATTTTAATAAGCTCAGGGTAATGATAAATAAAATCCCATGGCAAGTGACTCTAATGAGAAAAGGAGTCCAAGATGGGTGGGAATTTTTAAAAAGGTAATTCTAAAGGCACAATTACGAACAATTCCAACTAGGAAAAGGGTAGAAGACAACAGAAGAAGCCCATGTGGCTTCACAAAAAGCTTAGAGATGATCTGGAAAAAAAGGGCATGTATAGGAAGAACAAATCCTGCAGACTAATCTGATTTGGTTTTTGACTGGGTAATCTCCCTGACGGATTGTGGAAATGCTGTGAACATAATATATCTACACTAGATGGAACTATCAGGTGGATCCACAGTTGGCTATTGAACTCAGAATCAAATTGAATTGAACTCAAAGAATGCTGGGCTGAAAACAAGAGAATGAAATCAGTGAGAAGGATTTTGGAATTATTGTAAATCACAAGCTGAATGTGAGTGAATAGTGTGATGTGACAGCAAAAAAGGCAAATTCTGTTTTAGGCTGCATTAATAGAAGTATCACTTCCAAATCATATGAAGTACTAGTTCCCCCTACTCAACACTGATTAGGCCTCATCTTGAGTACTGTGTCCATTCCTGGTCACCACAGTTTAAGAAAGATGCAAACAAGCTAGAAAGGATTCAGAGGAGGGCAACAAGGATGATCCAGGGTCTGGAAACAAAGCCCGGTGAGGAGAGATTGAAAGAACTGGACATGTGCAGCCCCCAGAAGAAAAGACTGAGGGAAGATATGATAGCACTGTAAAAGTACTTGAAAGGCTGCCACAAAGAGGAAGACAGGATCTCATATCATCCCAGAGTGCAGGACACAGAATAACAGGTTCAAGTTACAGGAAGCCAGGAAGCCAATATCTGAAAATGGCAAAATGAATTGGAATGAAAAGTGGGGGTTTTGTCCTAGTTTCAATATGCCTCAGTGCCACCTTGTGGCAGTGTAATGGAACATAGAAAGACAGAACAAGAGAAAAATACATGTGAAGAGGCTGATTTAAATCTGCAGAAAATCCAGAAGCAGGTTCCTCAGCAAAGTGACCGGTTAAAAGACTCATGTATTCCAAGAATCCTGCCTAATCCTGGAGAACTGCTGCCAGTCAGTTAGGCTAGATGGATGGCTTCCTGTGCTCCCCAGAGATCCGTGTTTGACGGTATCCTGTGGTTTTTCCTTTCTTTCAGGCGCAGCAACAGCTCCAGACACTGGTCAACAAGGAGTCCAGTCTGGAAAGCCGTCTTGAGAAGCTGGCACGAGATGTGACTACCTTACAGAAGAAGTCCCAGGCCAATCAGCTGCAGGCCCAAGAGGCCAAGGCAAAAGCGGAGCGTGCTACAACTGCTGCAGGCCAGCTAGAAAATGTGAGAACCCTCTTGCGTTACCATTGTCCCAAGTGGCAGCTGTTTTAGTTTGCTTATTAGACCATTGCTATGAATAAGGAAGCTACCTCTTAATGGCCAAACTAATAATTCCAGTTGTTTCTGCCACCAGCGTTAATTCTTTCCATTTTCTGCCATAACATATGTTAATGACTCTTTCCTCCTATCTAACGGTTAATACCCAAAGAAATTCAAGTTCTGTGCTCAAAGTCAATTTCAGGTGAAACATTGCTTGCCTTATCTACTGCCCTTGCTGTAGAGGAAATGAAGCGACCTGGGTACAACATGTAGTAGGATGGGTGATGGTGAAGAATGCCAAGGCCCCATGGTGTGTGGTACCCCCAGCCTGCCTGCAGAGAACAGTCATCTTCAGACTGGAACTCAGGCTGTTGTGTAGCAGCATCCTGCCGAACTGTCTTCATAGAGGTCTCCTCTGCACTAGAATAACTGCCTGAGACATTTAGAATCTGGATAAAACAGTCTGTACAAATCATTTTATGCAGCCAATGCCAGGAATTTGATCCTGTGCAAGATGGCAGAGTGTCTGTGACTTAATAGAAACCAAGCTTACAGCCGCATTGTATTGGCTTCCAGTTGTGAACAGTCAGGCTGCTTTCCTGGCAGGTAATCCATGATCAGTCATCTTCAGCATGAGGAACAACTGCCTTTTAAATGGCTTGATTCCTAGTGAATATCCCTTGAATGCTGGGCATGCTTGTCAAGAACTCAGACTCTGGGCCTCTGCAAAGCAGACTGGAGTCCAGGGAGCCAAGCTTAGGGAATCTGATGGACTCCCAACCCCAGGCACATTCCTCTCACATTCCTAGGTAGGATAGTATTTTCCTCTTTGCTGAACACCTCGAGAAAGAGTAGAAAAGGTGGAGCAGTGGGAACTATTGGGGGAACACCAAAAATCTGGAAAGTCTCATTGCAAAGCAGAGCATGGGGAGTCTATATCGTCTTTTCACAAGCAAAGATTCTTTATGGCATTGCTTCCCTTGACAGCTTGCCTTTTGACAGCTATAAATAGAGTGCAAAATAAAAAATAATCCCATGTACAGCCTATCTGGATCAATGTACTTGGTTGGTTCCTGCTTCATTTTGACAGTAGACGCTTCCCAATATATTGCCCAGGTGAGGCTTCGCATTTTGGACCCCACAAGTATGCACCTCTACACTTGTGCAGGACTGATTTTTTTTAAATCAAAAATATGAATGAAAATGTATGTGCAGATTTCTTGTTCTTAGAAGTGTTTTGAAAAGGAAAATGAACCAGTGCCAGACCCTCCAATGCATGGTTGAGCACTTTTGGAGGGGCTATCACTAAGTGTTGCCTTGGAGGTTGCCAAAAGTGATCTCAGAGAAGTGTGTGCTGGGGAAACCTGGGGTAAGCAACAAGGGTTCATTATTACAACAGTGAGAAGAGACAAGCACCCAGATATTGGGTGGAGAACAGAGGGAGAAGGGAGGGAGAACAACCCACAGTGAGTCTGATCATTTGTTGAATACACCATGGGTTGTTCCACAAATGAGCCACATTGCATGGCTTTATTCACAGGATGGGTTGCCATACTGTGCAATCTCACCTATGTGTTCCTAGGAGGTGGAGAAAGTAATGCAGAGATACCAGAAGCTGCAGGATGAATTGGGGAACCAGCCACAGGATGCACTGCTCAAGCTGAAAAAGTTGAGGGATGAAGCCCAGATTCTCTTAGACAAAGCCAACGGCAGCAAGAGAAAGCTGGAAGGTAAGGATGCCACAGGGGTTCAGCAAAATCCAATCCTCAAACTATTTTTGATGGTAGAAATATATTAAATAAAAGTCATTTGGAGCTAAATCATTGGTCACTGACAATGCTGCATGAGAGTGGCATGCATTGTATTTTTAAATGACAACAGAATCACAGTAGGAGAAACCAGAGCTGTGGAAGAAAAATGACAATTCTGACTTGGGAAAGAGTTCAAATGTGATCTGTGGGTTTGTCAAGATGGCATTTGTGTATTGCAGGAAGCTGTGTCTGGGGGCATTAGGAGCAGCTTTGATATCAAAAGAAGAATGTAACAGCAACATTAGCATTTATACACCAATTCAGTTTTCAAGGTGCTTTCGATCACTGTAATCCTTACAAGGCGAGGTCATTGTCATTATTATCTCCATAAGGCCAAGAGTTGGGGATATGCTCGCCTTGAGTCACCACTGAATTCCTATTGGTTGTGGTGGATCTTGAACCTCCTGCCTCCTGGTTAATAACACAACATATTGTGACTCTGGTGAGTATTTATTTCAGCTTCTGAAAATCCCCGCCCCTTCTTTCAGAGCTGGAGGAGCGCTTTGAGTCCAATGAGAAAGAAATGAAAGAAAAAGCAACCCTTCTGCAAGAACTGGAGAGAAATGTGACAAGCCTTCTGCAGTATATCCAGGAAAGAGCCACTGCCTACGCTACCTGCTAGGGCCAAAGCTTCTGTTGCCAGCCCCTTGGGCCTGCTTCCTGCCAACTCTGGACCCTCCCATGGTAGGCCCTTCCATACATATCATTGATGGGTTCCTGTCTGAGGTTCTGACTGTAGATCCAGGGCCTTAACGTAATGCAGTTCCTTTCATCCTCAGCTGATTGTACCACTTCGGCCTACCTGGGATCAGGCATATCAGAGTGACTCTAATGTCAACATCTCATAGATACACAATTATGTTGTAACTAGTCCATGTTTTATCCCAAGACTTGGGAAAAATTAGGAAGGCCTATGCCTGAGAGTATCCACTATGGGGATGGAATATTTCTATCCCAGGTCTATTCATGGAATAGTTTCCTTCTTTAGCCAGCCTCTTCCTGCCTTCCATCAGCTTTTTTGCTGTTGTCATGATCACAGAGCACTTCCTGAACCACCCAGGCTGCAAAAGGAGTGGAAAAGAATTCCACTTGTTCTTGCTCCAGTCTGATGACAAGTTGCCTGTGATTTTCAGTTGCCACCTATCCAATTATTTCTTTAACCCCAGGAAACAAAAATGTTTAGTCCCAGGCCCGAGATCCCACAACTGTCCTTATTGTTCAAAAATTAATAGAGATGCAATACTTCCCCTCCACCATCACCACCTCCTTAAAAAAAGAGTCAATGAGATTCCAATCTAGGCAAAAATCATAAGACTCAGACCCTCCACTGAGAAGAGGTCTTTCTGATTCCATTCATAACTTGGAGCTCCTCCTACCCCACTTCCTTCATTACCTGAAAATCCTGATAACTACCATCAGCACAAATAGCATTTTTGAAAGGATGACACAAATTCATAGATGAGATTTTCATTAATGGCTGCTCATTTATGTTCAGAAGCCTTATTCCTCTCTTTTTACCTGTTCCTAGGATCAAAGTAGCAGAGTGTTGTGAGCTAGGTTTCCCCTTTTCACCTTCAAAACAACAGACCGTTCAAAAACTCTTTATTCTCTAGTGTACATTCAGTAAAGCATAACCAGCAAAAAAAATTCTCTGAGCATGCACAGAGTGGCTTGTTGAACCCAAACTAGAAACTACTTCTGAGAAGCCTCTTTTTGAGTAACCCTGGGCCTAACCCCTCTGGAGGGCACTTTTGGAGGCAGGCCAGGCTCTTAGTCTATGCCACTCCTCTTGTTAGCTAGCCCTCCTCTCCCGATGCCATGTCATGGGGAGAAGGATTGTACCGGGCATGTCTCACTCCTGTTCTATGCCCCCTCCCAGCAGTTGCAGACAGGTGAACAGGTGAAGAGGGCAGCGTTGAGATAAGCCCTCCTTCCTCTTCCATCTTGAAATCTGGAGGCCCTGTTTCCCAGGGCTCCTCCTTTCCATCTGAAGAGTCTGTGTCTCTCTGGCCTTGAAATGCATGCCAGAACAACACCTCTTTCATTCCCAACATAGAGAGAGAAGGCAGACTATCTTTATCAAGCTCTGTTGATAAATTTGCTAGTGTCAGAAACAAAGAACTGGGTTGCTTGAAAGCAGGACAATTAGAGACAGCTCAGCATGTTTTGATGCCCAAGACAGAAAATTGCACCTACCCCTGATGGAAAATTGTAATAATGTTATGAACCACCCAGAGAGCTTTAACTCTGGGTGGTATAGAAATGCAATTCATGATAATAATAATAATAATAATAATAATGGCAATTTTCTGTTTGTTTAATGATGTGCCAAGACAGGTGGGTTTATATAGCTGAGTAGCAGGTCTTAGCCCTGCAGGCAGTACTTGGGGTCCATAAAGCCTTTGTTTTCTCTTCTTCAGCTCCATCCATGGAATTTGTCATCTCGACCACTTAGAGTTATTTTTAAACATGTACAGCAGTATACAAATCTATTAAATAAAACAAATTAAAGTTCTTAATTCCACTGCCTGATGTACTGGACTACAGAAGGATTACAACTTGATTGGCATTTCAGAGCTACCCTTCCACATGGGACTTCCCCAGCTCTCTATCCTAATCTGGCAGACCCACATTTTAGCTTCTTTGATTTACAGTTGGCAGCATAACTTCCTAAAGACAACAACTGCCGCTACTCCCACCCCATGTCCCTCCACATCTTAAATTCAGTCAGGGTTGTGTGCCGTGCATCCCTCCTTTTCTGCCATTGGCCCAGGGGCACGTGAATAGTGCTCCTGCTTGAGGAAAGATGGTGATACGATTCCCCAATCAGCCCCTTCTGACTGATGTCTCTCAGGGTGAAGTCTTCGCATCTTTTGTGTTGTAGTAATAAAACTCTGACTCTTCTGATCTTCTGGTGTGTGTTTGCATCTTTGTGTCTCTGGGAAGTCGCTTCTAGCTTTATTTTAAGGGATTAAGGAATTCTCATGTTTCCAGAACTATGAAACTGCAGCAACAGCTACGCCTTTGTGCTCTACTAGTATCTGACCAAGTTATAGTAGGGCATTTGGAAGTCTTTGCCTTGGTGTTGAGGCAATTCCTAGAGAATCCTTTCCTGAAAGTGGCTCCCGTGACTTCCAATCTGATGCCCTCCAGCTGGTTCCACTGGCTGTAGCTGACAGTGATGATGATGTGTAATTCAACACATTGGGAGAGCATCAGGTTGGGGAAGGCTGCTCTGATAAGTGTGTGTCAGAAATTTAGCACACGTGTGCTCTCTCCACAGATGCCACATGTAACATCTGTTTCCTCTCTACCTGTTACCATTTCCACCACATCCCTTTCCAGTGTTTGTTACACACCTATCCTGTTTGGAAGATCATTCTGGGTAATAACTCGTTAGACACTCAGACACCCATCTGTGCACATTTTTGTACCCTGCTGAGTTTTATTCAAGGCATCTTGTTTTTATTGGAGTTTGGCAGTGTGAACTGGGCAGACATCCGGAGATGGACAGTATATAGACATGGCCAGAAAGCCATTGATCTACTTCACCTCTGCACTTGGTCCATTATATGATTATTATTTCAATATAATTTTAAATACATATTTGTTTTAGAACATATGTGGTGCCTGTTTTCCAGAAAAAAACTAACCTCAGGAGCTTCCAAGAACATAACAAAATTGCAACAAAATGTTTACCCATGGGATGCATCATGCACCTTTTCCTTATGTGCAGTGCAGACAAACTTGGCATTCTTGGAATGACTTGGAAGTGACTCGTCCAAGGTCGCAAGAGCATGGCAGATGTAAATGTTGTGCCCATTTCTCCCAAACCTGTGTCTAATTATCTGTTTCCAGAAAATAGGCTACAGTGTTTATCTTCTGTGACGCTGTGATATTTGGGAATGAGGCAGCCTAGGCAGCCCTCCAAAATAAGGAGCATTTGGCCACCCTGGAATGTTCGGACATTGCCTCCCCAGTGCATATTCTGTGAGAACAAAGCCTTTTGAGCTGGGTGGGGATCTTTGGCTTCCTGCCCCTCGCAGTTGTGTAGCATCACCATAATAACGAACAGCGTCTGAGCCGTCTCCAGCCGCTTGGTCCATCTCTCTCTTTCTGCCTCCACAGAGAAAATGCTTTTCTGAATTTCTCTCTGCCAAAGGAAGGATAATTTGATGCTTCAGAGGGAGCCTACCCCACTTAAAGACAGCAAGTGGTGATAGTGGGGTGCTCTTAGCAGCACTGGAGAATTCAGAGCTCTGTGTGTTCAACTGTCTCTGCATGGAGGGGAGCTAGGAAAGGCACATTCCAGCCCTGCTCCAGGGACAGCCCACTTTGTAGATGAGAAAAGCTGGAGCATGCTCATTCCTCAGTAGGATTGGGAGTCTCAGCGGGGAGAGAAGAAGAGAGAGGGCACTGGTAAAGCAAAGTATCAAAAAACTAGAGACCATCCAGCTCCCTGATTTTATGCTTCTTGTATTGTTGTTATTCATTTCATTTCTGCACCACCCCATTGCCAAGTCTCTCTGTGCTGTTTTAGAACAAGTTTTAAAGTAGATACTGTTCTAACTGCCATGATGCAGTTGCCATGTAAAGCTGGACTGGTTCATCCCTGAGTTATTGCAAACCAAGAGAGAACAGTGAGATTGCATGTAAAAATATTGCCCTTTTAAGAGTTCAGAAATACACAAACACTTGAAAGAAGCTTGCAGTGCAGTATCTAAAAGTAACAGGAAGACACACACCCCTCAGGACAAACATGTATCAAGTATTTGTATTCTGAGGCTTCTGGAAGTAAAATCCAGAAGTAGAATTCAGAGGATAATTGCAATCTATATAGTGACCAAGCGGAAATCATTCCACTTGAGGAAGTGGAAATTATTTTCTGTCACCTACCTGAACAAGCATCACTCTCATAGAAAAGTTAGCATTAATCCAGAGAAGCATAAAATAAAACTCCAAAGCAGTTTGGTCTTTGGTGAGGAATGTGCAAACATGCTATATATAATCAGTTTATGAAAACCCTGCTGCAAGAGAGTTTGGAGCAATATTTAAGTTGTACCATGAAAGAGTATGGTTACAGTATTGTGTGCTGCACCTATGCCTTTGCTGACCTTCTGAAATATTTGCCTTGCTTTGCTAATATTTGTTAATTAAAATATTTGCAAGTACTTTTATTTATTTATTTATTTATTTATTTTATTCGATTTATATCCTGCCTTTTTCCTACAGAGGGCTCAAGGCAGCTTACATCATTCTTCTCCTCCATCTTATCCCCACAACAACAACCCTGTGAGGTAGGTTGGGCTGAGAGTCTGTGACTGGCCCGAAGTCACCCAGTTGGCTCCGTGGCTGAGGGGGGACTAGAACCCAGATCGTCTGAGTCACAGTCCCACACTCTTAACCACTACACCACACTGGCTCTCTGAGTTTGAAAGAGATGTAGAATGCAATAGGGTTTGGAGTCAACTTAATACAATAGAAATCTGTTATAACAAATAGTATTTTCAGATGAAGCTTTTATGCACCATCAACTTACCTCACTCATGGAGTTTTATAGAGGGTCCAGATGACAACATTATCAGGTTGTAGCGTTTCTCCTTTTCTAACAAATTCTTCTATTCAGGTTATTGTGAAAAATCTGTTATGGAAAAAAACTAAATTGCTGCACAATGCCTTTTGGATTGTTGGTGCTGGGGGGCACTCCATATGAAGTACCCAAATGGTTATATCTAACATTAGTCTTAGAGGACACTCACTGAAATGGATGTAAGAAAAGACAGACTAACATTGATTCTCAATTTTAGTTTGACCAAGCCTAACATTAGGAGTTTGGGCCATGGTGAGCTTGCATTCTTTATGTACTGTCCAATACAGTATCTATGGTCTTATGATAACAGTAACATATTGTGCAAACTCAGTCTAATTACTACAGGGTCATAAGCCATGGCTTGCTGTAAGGCTTGTTATACCCACAATGAGTTGTAATGTCATCCAAACCAAAACCACCAACCCAATTATGGTTACTGGGAATTTGCTAGCAAGCAGTATAGCAAGAGCAGAAATATCCCCTTGCTGTTCTTTCCAAGCTTGTCTGTGCATCCACCACTGCCAGCCACCCCACAACTGCATAAGCAGCTTAGAGGAAGCTAGCACTGACTTTCTGTAATCCCTGCTGTGTTCACAAGCCATTTTCAGTGCACCATACCGTTTTTCTGCCTAATGAGAAGGAAGGACTCCCTGGAGAAGAGCCTAATGCCGGGAACAATTGAAGGCAAAAGAAGAAGGGGACGGCAGAGCATGAGGTGGCTGGATGGAGTCACTGAAGCAGTGGGCGTGAGCTTAGGTGGACTCCGGGGGATGGTGGAGAACAGGAGACCCTGGAGAAATGTTGTCCATGGGGTTGCAATGGGTCGGACACAACTTCACGACTAACGGCAACAACAACAACAACAAGCCACTGACAGCCTTTTCAAGGTGCTCAAGAAATATTTTTATTATTATTTTTTGCATAGTCATAGTGCCAGGTTGCTGACGGGGACGGGGCGTTATGCTCACATGACT